CTGCTGAGGGCCGGAGCCAGCATCGCCATCAGTGAGTGGCACACACAGAGTGTCTGCCCAGCTCTTCTCTGGAAACACTCTCGTGGTCTGCTGGAGTGCTCGGAGCTCCTGGCCGTGGCTGTGGGCAGGTCGAGGGCAGTGCTGGTGGGGAGCTCAGCCCCCAGGGGGACAGCATGAGCTCCAGGCTCTTCCCGTGTCCAGCGAGGTGCCCTGCTCTGACGCTGCTCTGGGCTGGCCCTCCAGGCTCAGCAGCACTCACAGACTGCTTTGGGGTGCACGTGGCCCTCCGTGAGTGGGGTGACCACATCTCACAGGTCCTGCTCTCGACAGCCTGGGACAGAAGCAGTGGCTTAGCTCTCCAGCTGTGAGCAGGGGATGCTCTCCTCTGCTCCCCAGGGAGTAAACTCTGGCCCAGGGAGCTTGTGCCTCTGCCCCACTTTCACTGTCCCCCTTGCTGGTAGGACTGCACAGGGGTGGGCTCACCAAGCTGGCAGAGTCCAGCGAGGTAAACACTGCCTGAGCTGCTCTGCCACACACAGCACATGCACAGCAGAAGCCAAAACAGGCACTGAACTCATTTCCAAAGCCAACACTTCCATGCTGGAGCACAGGCAGGAGGACTGTCAAAGCACTGGTTCTGAGACGGTGTCTGCTGGTGCTCTGGTGCTCAGATCACAGGCCCAACCATTTATATTGCACTTAAATCTCCTCTTCACATCACAGAAGTGAGCTTAAAAACTGGGGTTGTTGGTGAAATGGGAAGGCACAAGTGTTCCCACTGTGAGGTGTCAGCCGAGCCGGCAGGTGTGCTCAGCTTTGCCTCTTGGGATACTCCTGTGATGATCCCATTTCCCATTCCAGGCAGCACAGGAGCAGCCCCTTGGAGGACAAAGAGACCAGCAGGAGCTGGGTGTGTGTCCCCCAACTGCACAGTGATTTGGCAGCCACGTTTCTCACTGCCTTGGCCATGCTGGGCACAGTTGGGCCTGATCCACCTTTATTAACACTGGCACTTCAAGAACCCCGAATCCACAGTGCAGGTCCCACCACTGGTCTGGGGATGCTCTGCAGTCCCTTTGGGTACAGACCTCTTGCTGTTCCCTTTTCCCACCTTCCCCTCCCAGCCAGTGTCGTGCTGCTGCTCTGCAAGGAGGGGTTTTGCATTACAGCAACACCATCACAGGTCCCACCCTCATACCTCCAAGCAGTGGGAGGAGTTGCATTTTAAGTCAAACCGATGTAAAATGGTTGTGGCTTGTTTGCCCTTGCTCTCACACACCACAGGGACCTGGGTGTCCATCAGGCATCAGGACACACACACTGGTCCCTGTGGTGACACAGAGGACAGGGGATGCTTCCCTATGGTCTCCTCTGGTTTTGTAGCCTCGAGGCTCTGGCAATGAGGCTCTTCTGTCCCTCTGTCCTCTCTGTCCTGTCTCACCTCTGCAAGCCATCGATTTACTCCTACTCCATTCTCTCCTTATTTGTGTGTCTCAGCTCCTGTGCTCTTCATCTTCCCACCACCATCCTTCAACAGTTTGAGCCTTTGTTCTGCTTTTTGGTATAGGCTGGCCCTTCTTTTAGGCTTATTTTACTACATATCCCAAAAAAAAGCACAGCTCTTTGTTTCACTGAGCACAGCATGGGCTCATGGGCCTCAGGGTGCCTCTTCCCCCCCAGCTAACAGAGCAGGAGAGACGGCCCTGGATGTTGCCAGGAGGATGAGACACCCCCTGTGTGAAAAGCTGGTAAGGCACTGTCTCACCACCCCTCCTGTTTCAGGACACATCCCAGCAGCAGAGAGCAGGGGGGGACCCACACCCATGTGGACGTGTCCACAGGGCCACCCGTGCCCCTCAGCACCTCCAGTGCCAGTGTGGGATGCAGAGGAGTGAGGCTGGGTGCTGGCCCTACAGGGTCCCTCGGGGCAGGGCAGTTTAGGACAGGCCAGGCAGGGGTTGCATCACGCAGGGGGATTTGGATCTGTGCTGGGGCTGTGCATCCCCTCAGCAAGTCCAGGCTTGGCTTTTCCACGTCCTGATTTGTGCATTTGGAGGCCTTGGCAATGGCCCATTCCTTCTGGGGAGCACTGCAGAGGTTGCCCTGCTGGGTGGGTGGTCGGATAGGGGTCTGGTGGGTCCTCAGGGAGCTCCTCTGTGCCCCAGCTGCTGCAGGCCCAGAGCAATCAATTCAACCCCCACGTGGAACACGAGTGGTGGCTGGGCCAGGATGACATGTTTGAGAGTGACGAAGACCTGGATGAGAAGGTGAGGTGCTGAGGGGGGCTGGGCTGGGGCTGTGAGCGCGGCTGCGGCCTCGCTCCCTGCGCTGGAGCGGGTGCTCCTCCCAGCTGTACACCCTCATCTAACCTGCAATCCCCTCGCCCAGATGGGTCCTGAGAAGAGGGGATCTGCCCGTTCCCAGAGCTGCTACCACCCCCCTGCCGCTGTCCCCAGGCCAGAGGCAGCAGAGGCAGCGCCCCAGGACGGGTGGCCGGACACCTGCCCCTCGCCAGCCGCCCACCTACACGGACTGGAGGTGCCACTGCCCCCCTCCCACCCACCTCCACCCCCTCCCCAGCAGGCAAAGCCAGGTGAGAGGCTGTGGCAGGGTGCTGTGGGGGCTGGCAGGGTGAGCTGCAGCCTGGCCAGGGGGCTCTGGGAGGGAGCTGGGCCCCAACAGGGTGGGAGGGCTTGTCTGGTGCCCTGGGTTGCCCTCTGAGCCTCTGCTCCTCAGGGTCCAAGGCTGGCTTGTGCTGTCTCGTCTGACCTAGCACTGATCCCTGCTTTGTACTGTCCCCAGTCCCTCCCCTGTCCCCAGTCCCTCCCCTTTCCCAGCTCCCAGACTGATGGGGGCTGTGCTGCCCACACTGTACCATCCCACAGGACCATGTTGCACTGTGTTGCCTGACAGTGGTGGTTGCTGTTGTCCACCTGTGATGAAAGGTATGAGCAGATGAACCAGCTTGGTTGTGTTTTAGGTACCCTGACAGCCTTGGACCCCCTCTGCACATCTGGCCCCAGCAAAGTAGAACAGCCTGGCTCACACCAAGCCCTCCAGGAGCCAGATCCATGTTCTGGCCATGCTTGGGATGTCCCACGTCCTCAGAGGAGCAGTTTGGTAGGTGGCCAGGATCAGCTCAGCTCCCACATCTGCCAGTATTTATCCCCTTTGGTTTTGACCTGAGCTGCTGTTGGCCCCAGCAACTTCTCCTTCCTGCATTTCCGTGATTCCCTGGCACTGACATCCCCCTGCCAAGTGCTGGGAATGCTGATGATAATGCAGAGGTAGAGCCCTTTCACTGGGCACACCTTGCTTGGGTTGCTTGGTCTTGGGGCTGTGGTGAGCATCACTGCTGACTCCTCACACACACCTGCCCTGAGAGAACGGGGACCCTGTGCCCTGCACTGGCACAGCCTTGGGGCAGAGGAGCAGCTGCCTCTGCCAGGATACTCCAGCAGAAGGAGCCCCTGTCCCACCCAAACTCCCAGCAGATGATCTGCTCCCTCTGCACTCCTCTCTGCACAGGAAATCTCCCAGTCTCTCATCCTTGCTCTTCACACCTTTGCCAGGGCCTTTGGGGTGAGGACAGTGGCCCCATTTCAGTTTGTGTCTGACGATGTCCTGTCCTGGCAGAAGCGACGGCCGCTCTGCAGGGTTCGTGCTCTCTATGACTGCGATGCCGACCGGGAGGATGAGCTGACCTTCCACACAGGAGAGGTCCTGGTGGTGTCTGGAAAGGAGGACAGCAACTGGTGGGTGAGTCAACCTGGGTGTGTAACCCGCACTTGGGTGCACGTGATCCCCTCTCCAGACATTTCCTGCCTCTGTCCCATGACTGTTGTGGGTCCAGTTCCTCACCCCCCTGTGCTGTGCTCACCACTCCTTTTCCTTCACATCTCCCCACAGAAAGGGTGGATTGAAGGACAACCCCAGAGGCAAGGTGTCTTCCCGGCCTCATTTGTTCACGTGCTCAGCGAGTAGGAGCTGCTTTAATTCAAGAAGGAAGATCTGATCAGCTGCTTAAAGTGCAATTCTCCAAGCTACCATCTGCACTCACTTCTGCTGCCCCAGCACTCATCCCCCAGCCCACCCCTCCTCTGGGCTGTCTCGGAGAATCTCTCAGCCAGCTGAAAGGCGAGAACACAGCAGCCCACAGGCTCCACAGGGGTGCTCCTGCCTCAGCCCCATGCACAGAGCAGCCCTGGTGTGCTCTGCTGCCCCATGCCTACACGTTTCACTCTGTGTGTGAGCCAGAAAATGTGCCCCTCTAGTGCCTGGCTCCCCAGAAGTGGTGCAAAGGCCCTTTGAGCCTGTCACCAATAAATACTGACAGGGCTGCTCTAGTTTGAATTTCTAGATCCTTTGTCTTTGCACCAAACCTCAGGCACCAAACCTTGTAAAGCCAGGCCTTGTTGACCTCCCCTTGGATAAAATTACCTACAGTTCAGCTTGCACTACTTTTTCATTGGTTGTGTTTTTCTAATTGCCAAGGCACATTTCACAGTCCTTCTCTGTCCTCTCTGAGCCAAAATCCCATCCAGCAAAAGATGGATCCAGGGATCCATCCAGCAAAAGAAAACCTGGTGAGGTGCTGAATGCACAAGGCTGCTGAGAGCTCCATGTTGCTGGTGTCAGTGAGCCACCCCAGCAGGACACACAGGGGCAGGAGGGCAGTTCCACTCAGAAGCAGCTTCTCCCACCTTCAGAGGAACTTTTAGATGATTGATTTCCTGATGTGGCCCTGGGAACATGGCCAGGGCATCCATCCCCAGCGGGACCAGCAGCTGCCACGGTGCAGGGCTGTGTGGAGGGGCCGTGCCAGGATGCCAGTGGTAGGTACTGCTGGAGAAGGGACAGCAGCCCTGACCTCCCTGTGCCACTTGCTGTTCTCCCCCACGTCATGGGGCAACACTTCCTCTTCCCGTGGCATTGTTGCTCTTGCAGCGAGCCCTGCAGAGGCCACCGAGGTCGGAAGCATCACCCTGCTCAGCGGCGCTTCCTCCACGGAGGTGAGGGGGTCCTGGGGAACTGGCTGGGAACCAAGAGGTCGTGACACCAGGAGAGGCTCTTTCCCTGCTGTGGGACTGTGGAGCTCCTGGCAGTGTTCCTTGGGGCTGAGTGGGAGCAGACAGGGCTGTGGGCACTGAGTGCAGCCCAGTGCAGGGGCCACACGGCTGGGGCACGGTGGCTTCTGACTGAGGTCTCTGGGCTGGGGAACTCCAAGGCCAGGGCACCTCTGGACACAGGGGTAGTGGGGTCATTTGAGCTGCCATGGTGGTGGGGGTGCAGGTGGAGGGGTCCCATCTGTGGGGCAGGGGCTGTACAGGGGCACAGGCAGGGAGATGAGGCCACTCAGCTCTGCCTGTCCAGAGCCCTGCGGTCCCAGTCACGGGTGACTGCAACAAACTGCATGAAATATTCCCAGGGCTGGGTCCCCTGGCTCTGGGCTTGTTGGAGCTGCTGGTGCTGGTCAAGCAGCCCCTGCCCACTCCCACTCCTCCAGGAGCTGTGGCTTGAAAATCCCTGAGGCTCCACAAGTGCCTGAACCAGCCCAGGGACTGCTGGTGCCTGGCCTGACCAGCACATCAGATGGATGCTCTTTGCCTCCACCACGGCAAATGCTGTGGCTGTTTGCAGGAGGGCAAAAGAGTGAGTCACAAGGACCTGTGACTGCCAGCAGAGAAGGTGCCAGGACTGTCAGGGTTCCCCTGAGCCTGAGGGGAGAACAACTGGCATTTCATGGCAACTTCCTGCCTGACAGAACCCACATCTGGGTTTCCGGAGTGCTGGTGATGACTTGTTTGTGCTTTCCCTTTCAATATGAGGTGACGGTTCGGTGTCTTTTGGGAAGGACAAAGGCAGCACAACCTGCTGCAACCACCTGGCATGATGCAAATTCCCCCATCCTGTTCCATCTCTGCTGTTGCCTGGATCTCCTGGGGCAGCAGTTTTGCTGTCTAGGGCACGTCCTTGGGGTCAGATTTGAGTGCAGCAGCTTGGGCACCACAGTGAGCAGGGACATCCACGCTGCAGGAGCTGCAGAAAATGGTTCATGTGGAGAAATGGAACCGTGGCACATGGTCCGTGGACCACGATACATGGTCCCACCCAGGCAACTGGGGGAGGTACAGGGTGCTCCTATGAGGACAGGAGGAGTTTTCTTTCCTTCAGCTTTCCCAGGGGACACCTCCATAAACCTGCTGTGTTCTCTTCTGAGCCTGGGATGAAGGCTGTGCATGAAGCTCTGCTCTCTGCTCTTGCCTTAGCCCACAGGAGCAAAGTCCTAACTCACTGAGCACTTCATGAACTCCCTGAGGACAAGAAAACCCTTTTCCCTCTAAATTTACATGAGTGCTTTTAGATAGAGACCAGAAATGTTCTTCCTGGCAATGCTTCAGTGCCCGTGGAGTGTGCCCAGCTGGGGCAGAGCCCCCGGGGCTCCTCTCCCTACTGGGGAGGTGCGTGCTGGGGAGGGGCCCCACTGCAGACACACTTGGGGCGGGTGGCACTTGCTCCGACGGCAAGGCGGGGTTTGCCTTGTGGCCAGGGCGATGATGCTTCGGAGCTTGTTCAGCTTGCAGACCCTAAAAGTGTTGCAGGCAGAGAGCAGCCCCTCCTACAGCACGTGCTGCCAGCCAGCCCTAAGTAACTTGGTGGCAGTGGCAGAGCACAGCAACAATGCCTTTGAGCAGTTTGAAAATGAAACAAAACCCAGGCTATTCCAGGTCCCTCAGGGTGGATGAGCAGCCAAGGGGTGTCCCGGGAGGCTTGGGCAGGGAGGGTGGGTGAGAAGGGCTCCTGTGGTGCCTCTGCCAGCGGTCTCTGTGACGTCTCACTGCAGGTGGCACGCAGGATGCTGAACCAGAGGCGCACTAAGGTGGTGCTGGCCCTGTGCCTGCTGCTGGCCCTGTGGCAATGTTTCCGAGCCCTCACGGACGGCCTCGGCCCTGTCCCCTGGGCTCCCTCCCTCCTGCACAGCCCCGGTGCCCGCTGCCCCCCCAGAGCCAACAGCTCCGCCTGGTTCCACGAGCGCTACGAGGCAGCCGTAGGGCCCCTGCTGACGGGGGCAGCCCAGGAGCTCTCTGCAGATGTGCTTCAGTGGTGGCTGGTGAGTGGGGCCGTGGGCAGGAGTGCTCTTCCAGGTTCCCTCAGTCTGTTTTGCATGATTGGGATGAAGCGTGTGCAGAGATCCCCGCTCAGCTTTTCCTCCCCCTTGCCCCTCCCTGTACCCTTTTCCTAATACCCCATCTGCTTTCTCGGTGCTTTCCCAGGGCTCTGCTAGGAGGGGTGGGGCTCTGTCTCTCTCTGGGTTACTGGTGGGGGTTAATGCTGCATGTCACTCTGCTTGCTCCCCTAGACCCTGCAGGGTCCCATGCATGGTGTCCAGCTCCAGGCCATAATTCGGCAACTCTTCAGCGTCCTCCGAGCCCCGACCGGTGACGTGCGGGACTCCCCTGGCTGCAGGACTTGTGCAGTGGTGGGGAACTCGGGGCTGCTGAAGGGCTCCAGCCACGGGCAGCTAATTGATGCTCATGACTGGGTGCTAAGGTGGGTGACCTGAAGGGACTTGGTCTCTCCCTGTCTTCCCAGGACCCTGGCACGCCCCCGCCATGCTGCTGAAAACACAAACCCTGTGATTGGGGTGGCTGCTAACCCTGCTCCCTCGAGCCCTCCATTCTGGGGCACACACTCTGTGTCACCCATGCCCTCTTTGCTGCTGGCCAGGGTGACCTGCTGCCCCTGCCTGGTGGGACCGGGAACCTGGGACCATGCACCTTCCTTTTGGGACACACCATCCTGCTGTCCTTTAGGATGAACAGAGCAAAGATTGCTGGCTTTGAGCTGGATGTTGGCACGAGAACAACCCATCACTTCATGTACCCAGAGAGTGCAGTGAACCTTGGGCCTGGCATCCACCTTGTCCTTGTCCCCTTCAAGCCCCTGGACCTGCAGTGGGTGACCAGTGCCTTCTCCACTGGAGAGGTCACACGGTGTGTCAGCTTTGGGGGATGGCATCTCTTGTCCTGGAGACCCTCTGGATGAGACAGAGGGGGGCCCTGGTCCCTCACTGGAGCCCTGGCAGCACAGCCCTGGTGGGACAGAGGGTGCTGGGTGCATGTGTTAGCATCCCTCTGCACTGCAGTTTGGGTAGTGGACACTGAGCTGTCCCCACAGGGTTCAGACAGCCTGCAGTCCCATACCCCTGTAAGAGGGAGTCCCCCCTGTGGGGCCATGGTTTAATGTGTCCCTTCCTAGAGCCAGACCAGGCAGTGCTGCTGGGGCAGCCAGAGGGGCTGGGGGTGCCAGGGGGCGGGGTGCAGGTGGACACAGACACCCTCTGAGAACAAAGGGGCAGCCCCAGCAGCGGCAGTGCCACCTGCTCACCACTTGCTTTTGCTTTTGCAGCACGTATGTGAGAGTTAAACAGTTCATCAAGGCTGACAGAAACAAGGTAAGGGCCCTGTGGGCTCCAGCTCCCTGGGGCAGAGCTGGTGGTGCACTGCCTGGGGCTGCTGGGCTGTCCTACTCCAGCGTGAGAGCAGCTGACGGCTCCTCCACTCCCCACTCAGGTGTTGATCCTGAGCCCAGCATTCCTCAAGTACATCCACGACAAGTGGACGCAGCATCACGGGCGCTACCCCTCCACCGGCTTCACGGTGCTGCTCTTTGCCCTGCACACCTGCCAGCAGGTGAGCACAGCGAGGGCCCCGTGCCCGCACCGCCCCTGCTCTGCCCATCCGTGGGCTCCCGGGCTGCCCCGGTGCCCACACAGCCCCGGCTCCTGCTGCCATGTGCACAGGTCTCCGTGTTTGGCTTCGGAGCAGACAGGGAAGGGAACTGGCACCACTACTGGGAGGAAAACCGCTGGGCCGGAGCCTTTCGCAGGACGAGGGTCCACGACGCCGACGTGGAGTTCAGCGTTATCAAGAGACTGGCAGACGAAGGCAGGATTTCATTCTACAGATGAGGCAATTCCACGAAACTGAAGCCAGGCCGTTGGGTCAGGAACAGGCAGCCCCTGTATTGCCAGCAGCTGTCTTGGCTCTTTAGCTTGCTGCTCCACTCCACCCAGCCTGGGCTCGCGGACCCTGCAATCCCCACGGTCTTGGTGCTACTTGTGCTGCCCCCACCAGCTGGGGACCGTGGGTGCCACTCTCCTGTGGGATGGTGCATTTAGCTGGACATGAGTGGGCTCTGCCCAGGCTGGCTGGGAGGGAGAAGGGGTGTTGGTGGGGCTGGAGGTGGGCACGGGGCCCAGGAGCTGCCGTGCTGGTTGTGCCGTGGCTGCGGTAACAGGGGTGGACTGCGGCCACTCCGGCGTGGCTGTCTGTGTGACAGAGCTGACACTTCCACCCACACACGGCTTCTGGGGGAGCTTTGTAGTTGTTCTTTAGGCAGGGTGAGGGGGGCATCTCCCCTTCCTGACTTTTTATAACTAAGGGAATAATTTTTACATTGTTAAAGAAGAAAAGAAATCAAACATGCTGACAGAGACAACGGAATCAAACACAGCTGAAGTGATCTTACACTGAATAAACTTAGAAACTGCATGTGAATCTGTTATCTGCTTTACTTTTATCTGTTATCTTAACATTTTATCTGTTTTTTGCTTTACTTTTTGACCTCTTACAACTTTGAAAAGGGCACAGTTTCAGCCCCACCTGTGGAACAAGACTGCAGACTCTGGGGAGTGCCCCAAAGGAGGTTTCTCTCCTCCAGAGCAGGGTCAGCAGGATGTCTTCTATCACTTTCAATCACAAACATCCTTGATCCACCTTTACCACAGCTATTAGTCACTCAGGCTTTCAGTCTATTAAAATCACCAGAACTCCTTCCAATGGACAGCAGAAGCCTGTAGCATTTACCTGTTAGTGTCACTGATTTTTTGCCTCTCCAGGTAGAATCTCCATTTCTGCATCTTCTATTTCCCTTCTCAACTATTCCCAGTTTTCCTTTCTGAGTATTGCACCCTCCCTTGATTTTCTTTAGGTGCTCAGCAGTGCCCTGGGCAATGCTCTCCAGTGCTTTTCCTGAAGTTTACAAGTAATTGGCTTTCTTATCAAGGACAAGCCAGTAGCTGATAACTGCTTCACTGTGGGTTAAACTCCTGCTGCATTATTTCCATTCATCTTCCCCTCCTGACTACTCTTACAAATTTAGTTACAAAGCTGAGTGCTCTGATAAGCAACTGAAGCTGTTCAGTGCACTTTTTGTTCCTGATCAAACATACAGACACTGTTTCCTTCTTCATACTGTAGTAGTACTCTATGATCCCGACCCAATGGAGTCATTAAATATCCTTGTAAAAAAACCAACATTTAAAACAAACCTGGGTTTCAGTATTCTAGCTTGGAGATAAATGAGTCTCCTCACCCACACCTCAAATTGCTTCTCTCCCTGGTTGACAAAACCATTTTTTTATACTCCCGGGTTTACAGGTAAGTTCAAGTAATTAAAAGAACCAACAACCAACCAACAGAACCTATTTAAAATGAATTATAAAACAGTTTTCTCTCTGCAGTATCTGATCCTGTGCCTGTCATGCTCTATGTTCACTGCTGGACCAATTGTTTGGACCAAGATTAGAGTCAATACCAAAGCAAACCCAGAGCTGAGATTTAAGTGTAAGCAGTCTGTTTTACCTCAAAATAAGGCGAGAACCCCCCAAAATTTTTTCCTCATTATTTTAAAATTTCTCCCAATACAGTTTCACATACCAAGCACTTTACTCACTTGTGTAGATTATTTAAAAAAAGAAAGCCCCATCATCCTCACAATCTCTACCTACTTTGACACAATGCCAGTGTGTCTTTTAATTCTAATTTCCAATTCAGTACCAGGATTAGTTCAAGTAATTTAATTATTTCTCCAAATGCTTTACCAAAACAAACAGAGGACGGACTTTATTTCAAAATATACACCAAGGGGAAGTGAAAAAAAACCAATCCAATTTAAAAATCCATTAAAATTCCAAACACTTTTTTTTTCCTGAAACTTGCATCTTTCATAAGAAGAGCAAGTGGGAAAAAGCACATCCCAAATGCTTGGGCTCCCCACACAGCCCAGACTGGGATGGGACTCAGCACATTTTCACAGAGGTCTGGCACACAGCATCAGCACACTCAGAAACACTTGCAAGAAAAATTAAAAAACCCAGATGGTGTCACTAGAAAGCTCGCTGGATGGCAACTTCAACCCATCACAGGTCTCCCAAAGTTAAAGGACATTATTCCTGGAGGCAAACAGAATGCACCAATGTCCAGCATCTCTGTCGGGAAGGGGGGCAGAACTGGATGAACATGGACTGACACAAAAGGGGTTTTACAGTAGGGTCTGCACAGCCAGATACATCTGCTAATCTTTAGAGCAGCAAGGTTCAAGCCTTCCATCCACAAATTAATGCCAGGGAATGAGGGGACAGGAATACAAGAGCGGTCGGGACCATCTGGAAGTCCCAACCCTTTTCTCCTGTGCACTCAGAAGATCACTTGTCTTTCAAAGAAGCCTTTTTAGTTCTCCTGAAGAGTTTTGGTTTGTTTGGAGGGGGCAAAGTCATTGCTTACTTATGTTGTCTTCCCGAGTTCAATTTTCTTCTGGATGGCACGTGCTGAGTGATAGATCAAGGAGTCAATGAAACCTGCAACTAAAGGGAGAAGACAAATGGACCAAGCCAGACAGGCCTCAAAGAGAGAACAAATCCCAAGGAAATAAAACTCTTTTCCCATTTCTTTCTCACTTCACAGTAACCTCAAAAGTAAACGACTCTACTGGATGCTGCCCTCGATGGCCATGCACACCCACCCAGGACACAGAGCAAAACAAACCACTGCCTTCAGTGCTCTCTGCAGTATTTTCCCCAAATTTCCCCAGCCCTGAAGAAGCCTATTAATTCAGTGGCTTGTTTGCACCACAAACCCCTGGCAATCCTGCATCCACCACTTCACAGGACAGGAACCCCAAGCTCCTGCCTTGGAGGGAACACAGGGTGCCAGGGAGACTTTTTTCCAATGCTTTTATGAAGCTTCATGTTCTTTTTTCTTTTATTCAACACCTCAATACAAGGAGTCAGTAAGTGATTACTTGGCCCTACACAAAGACACACACACATGGAGCTGAGCACACACTGATTAGCTCCTCCAAAAGCCAGCACTGAGAATGAAGTGCAGACACTCGGATCTGCAGGAACAGCCTCTCCTCACAGGTCACTGTCCAGTCCCCACAGAGCACTCGCTGGAGCTCCTATGTCTGAGAGCACAGTTTGAAACCTCTGGGATGATTACAACCCATGGCAACCTGGGTTCACAGATTTTACTGGCTTTGGTGCTACATGAAAGCAACTGTCTGCTCACAGACCCAAGCTGGCCAAGAAAACAGCACAGATGCCTTCATGCAGTGTGTGAAAACCAGCTTTGTTTGAAAACAAAATGTTCTGCAGAGCATCAAATCGAAATATTATGACAGGTCTAATGAAATGAAATAGTTTAATAGATCTACCTCATCTACAGCATCTTGTAAGTCTGCAGTGCTCACTACAATCTGATGCCACTCCTGTGGCTCTGCAGAATGTGCTATATCTCCTCCTGAAGGCTGAAATCATCTCTCCTCATCAAACAGGAATTTATTACCAGCCATTCTGACTTTAGAAAGAGTAAGACAGCAAATGTTTACATTTTAGAGAGAAAAAAGACTGAAAGGTGCAATACCTGTAAATATGCCTCCAACAATGGCACAAACTCCAGTGAGAAAGTGAGTAAAGGACCTATAATTTGAACAATCAGTGTGAGCTCAGGAATGTAACAATTCACTAACAAAAACCAATTCATAATTATCATAATGTTCGTCATACCACAGAAGTATGCATTACTTAAATACTCATAGCTGAAAATTAATAGATTTAAGAATTAATATTGCCTACAGAATGGACTTTGTCACTGATACTTTTACTGAGCAGCACCAAGTAGTATGAAGAGCAAGTACTGAATTTATAAACCTAAAGGATGGACTTTTAAATCCCTAGGACATTATCCATTCCCACCCAGCCAGAATGCACAGCAGGCTGCTGTAACACAAAAACTAAACCCCTAACTACATGTTAATACATTTTAAGATACAGACATTGTCTGTCCCCCGTTATGAACCTCAAATATCAGAGAGTTACAACTCCCCTGCAGTTACACACCAGCGATTAACCCAGACAGAAGGAAGAGGTTCCACACTGGCTGCAAGATGCAGAAAAGCTACAGCAAATGCAGAGTAAGGAACCTGTTGGACCAGCATGGGTGCTGCTGGAGGTGCTGGTAAGATGGGTATGCTCTGTAAATCTAGTCCTTCTGTAAATCTAGCACCTCTTCCTCCCCACTGACCAGGAAGGGGCTCGGGAAGGCTTTCAGGCATTTGCACTCCTCTGTCTAAGTGAGGATGAAGTTTGGAGCTATGCAGAATGACCAAACTGAAGAAGGGTGAATGAACTGGACTGAAATGTCCCTTACCTGTGTTTCTCAGTCAGCTTCACCATCATGGGTGACAGTTCATAGAGCACAAACACCCCAGGCAGACCCTGGTCCCCCAGCAGCCCGTTCGCTATTTTCTCATGTCGTGTGACCGAGAACTGGTTGGTCCTGACCACCTACAAAACACAGCACACAAACACAGCAAAGCATTGTTCTGTTAACAGGGAACAGCAGAGGCCACTAAAACGTGACTCCAGGGAACCACAGCAGTGCAGCCCTGCCCACTCACCCGTGGGTGGCCTGGGAGTGGTTACCAAGAGTCACAAAGAGCTCCATCAGGATCAGGTCTATTTTTTCTACAGGTTACCAATTACAGCCCCAAGTATTAGGGATGCATCAGTCCCCAGGCTGGACTATGCAGTCTCTGCTGGCAACAGCATAAGCTGTCCCTCTCAGTCCCAAGTCCATGTCATCCTCTACCAACACAATAATAATGGCCAGTCTTCGTGAGCGAAGATCCAGGGAAGGTCTTTACACCTTCCAGCCTGCGCATTGGATTTTTTAGGTGAGACACAGTGTGCGCGGAACTGAGCCCACCCTTTAATCCTAAGGTTCATCTGCAGGGGCCAAGCGAGCTTGGACGGTGGCAGCGAGGTCCTTAGGACGTAGATGGGTTGCCTTTAAGGCTAACGAGCCCCTGGTGGTCTAGTGGTAAAGGCGCGGCGCTGTCACTGCCGAGGCCCGGGTTCTACCAACATGCAGCCCAGCTAAGCATGCTTCAGGAGACAGCAGTGCTGGCAGAAACCTGTCCTTAGTTATTCAAGAATGAGACAAAAGGAAATAATACATAAAGACAGGAGAGTGCCAGGGCTACAGGACACAGATTGCCCATCTTCACATGAATGAAGATCACCCTTCAGCGTTCTTCTGTGTCCTGCCATCCTTCTACATGTTGTTTGTACCACTCCTATTCTTACAGCAAAACCCTTGTGTTTCTGTAAAACAAAATTACGTTTCAATATCCCTAACAAGCTATCAGACACAAAGTATGATCCCAGCTGAGAAAGACACTATCCCAGTTTCTTACCAAATCCCACATTTGGGGGTCCCAAGCACTGAATGTACAACACAGGCCCTGGTATCCACCTGCCAACATGCCTGGATCCAGTTACAGGCAGCATCACGGATATGAGGAGAAAGTGAAGGCTTTCACTTGCCAACGTGACAGGAAAAAAGGTACTTACTTCACCATCTACTTTCCTATACACAGTGGGGACCACTTTGACAAAATACTGAAACATCATGGAAGCTGTAAGCAAAGACAGAGAGAGGCACAATCAGTACCCACAACAACCTGGAGAGCTTCACTGACAGGTCAGGTAGACACAGACTGGTTTGGTTCAGCTTGCCAGGGAACATCTTTCTGCACAACAGCTGCGGGAGGATTTCCAGGACAGAACTGTCTGACATGAGTTTTCCTTTTGCCAGTCTTGTTCCTGTTCCAACCAAAACCAAAACTACCAGCATTTTGGTCTCGACTAAATGGAAACCCTTCTACAAACAAATTATCTTGCTATAGTTTTACTAGTAAAACTTCTTGAAAATTCTTATTCTAGCACATGAAAAGTCTTGTTTTTAACAACATAGCCAAAAAAACCCCGCATCTCTAAATGAATATCTTACATCAACTCCAACTAACACTGCAGTTTGCTCCTGTAGAAGTTTGGAATTTATTGTCTCAGGAGATGAAAAAGAAGGTCTGGATCAGTGAAAAAAAAAATAGGACTACCCTTTCTCAAGTTTGTTGCCTTAGACCAGCCTGTTCCTTTAGTTCTCTTAAGATAATGGAATGCAGGAGTTGCTTTGAAAACCTCTTTTCTATGAAATCCCCTAGAGGAGAAGATTATTCATCCATTTCTACAACAGAAGTAATTCTCACTGAATCTTCTGGTTCTCTCCTACTGCACGTAGTAGTCAGACAGGGCTCTCCTTGAACTACACCTGAGGCACATCTTTAATAATGATGTGCTGTAGCTGTTGTGTCTCCATGAACACTGAACAGAGAGATCTCTCAGAAAGGTCACAGAATCAAAACATGTGAGCAGATTTGTTCCATGTGAATGGAGAGAGCTGCTCCAGAGAGAGCACAAGGTGGAGGAGTCCACACAACACTGTCAGGGTTCTTGTTAAAACTGGGAACTTCTCTCCTGTTGTCTTCCAACACTTATTAACAAACACAGACACTTGAAAAGAGGTTTCTCTCAGCTGGCTTTTACCTTGCTGTGCAGTGACGGCCGTCCCATCCAGGGGGTTCACAATGCCTGGATAATCCCTTCCAAACGAGAGGTGTTTGATATAGTGGGTCATATTGATCTGTAACAGAAGTGCTGACAACTCAAACAACATCTTGAAATCAGATGTGGAATTTTCTCCTTATCCTGCTGGAAGTCCCCAGATCCCAGTGCCCTTCCCTGCCATGCAGAGAGCAGGCTCTCCCACCCACTCCTCTCCCTGCCACGGGAGCACCACGCTGGCAGCTGCCTCGGTGGCACAGGTACGAGCAGAATCTGCCCTCCTCCCAGCACAAGGTGAACTCCAACAGATCCAGAAGCAGTTGGGAAAATGTCAGCCTTAGAAAACTGGGAAGCATAGGTTAAGGAGCAAGGCAGGCTCAGGAGGAGGGGAACAGGCTTGCCAAGCAGCATGCAGATGTTCCAGAACATATTCAGAGCCCTCTGTGAAAGCAGGTCCCAGGTTCTGCTCGGATCCATAGAGCCAGATCTGCCATGATCCCAACATCAGGATGTCAGTGTGTGGCAACAAGAGGGAAATCCAGAAGGAAAACAGACTAAGAGAATCAGAACACTACCTTGGGAGCACTTACATTATCGAGTCCAAAGCTCTGCAGATCATGAACTGCAACAGAAAAAGCAGTTTAACAATATAGTTCAAACTGTCATAACAAGCATATCTGTCAGCCACATTACAGCTGTGTACCTCTCATTTCCATCACGATCTAAAATGTAAGAAAGTTGCCTGGGATCTGCAGGATCATGGTGCTTATCAGCTTCACTGCCTGGGGAGCCACGTGCCTTGGCACGAGAAGTTGAGTTGAGGACTAGTGAGGATGGCAAAACTTCCAGGAGCAGCACAGCACCAGAGAAACTGCAGGGCAGCACCTGGGGAGGACCAAACTCAACTAACCTGCTACACCAGATTTACACTGTGTGGGACCCATATTAACAGTTGTGGCTATTCAAAAAAAAATGTCCCCACAGTGCTCTGCTATGCCTTCCACAGATAAACCACCAATTAAGTAGTTTTTGAAAAACTCCTCTCCAACAAGTGATTTACAACTTTGCAATAAAGCCATTTACACACTGAGTTTCTAAAACAGTCTTCCACCAGACCACAGGTTTATTTATCTCTGATCACTGAGGATTATGCTAAGTACAGGTGTAAACAATCTGGGTTGCAGATAAATGTTTAGCTAACCATAGTTCATTTAACACAAACCAACAGGGTATTTAGCCTGCTCAGAGAAGAAACAGAAGGAGGAAACAGAAGATCTTTAAGAGACTGTCACCAAGGACCAGAGACTGTTATTTCTGAAGAAACAAACACATTTCTTCACTTCCCTAACCACAGCTACTAGCCCAGTTAGGCAAAACAAAGAGACCTGTAAAACATCCCAAGTTTGCCATGAACTCTGTTTTTAAAGAACCAAGATTTCTTCATTGTTTCAACAACACAGTTTTAATAACTGCTATCTGAAGAATTCTCCCCATCTCGCAATTCTGACTTGAACAACCAAGAGGCTTCCTTAGACTCCAAAATTCAGTCCTGAACCCCTGAAAGGGGATTAACAGCACCTATGGCCATTCAGGATTCTGCCAACAGACACGTGAAGACTCCAAGGAACCAAAGGCAGTCACCCAAATGTATTGCTCCAAGGTGAGCTAGGACACCGATTTTCAAACTGGGGATGAATTTCAGGGAGGAAAGTATTTTACAGGAGCACAGTGACAGGAAGATGATGAGTGGCAAAAAGAAGAGGGGACTGAGGCAGGGAACAACACAGAAAGTGTTGCAACACAGGGAAGGAGTGAGCAAAGCTGAGTCTGAGCTCTCTGCCAGATGTTACTGACTACAAACACCACATCTCAACCTGCAGCCACTTTGACTATCCTTAGAAAAGTCCAGTGGCTTACAAACCCTGGGAAAACTTCCTGTGGACTACTCAGAGATCAGCAGGCTCAGTGCATGAATTCCCAGCAGAAATTCTCTAGCCTGTTGCACAAAGGAGGTTAAATGAGATCATTCTCTCATCTGACTTGAAAAGGCAGAAGCCTCTCCAACGTTGTCAGTGTTTCCAACACCTGAGCTGCACAGCGCAGCTAAACATTTGCCAACACTAACTCCAACACTGAGGTATTAAAACAATTTAAGGCAAGGATTCTCAACCTTTTCCATCTCATTTACCACAGAAGAATGAACTGGGATGGCTCCCCTTTTAGCTTCCAGGAAATCTTCTCAAATCCCAGCCTAGATCAACAGCTTCTCCCAAAGATTTTTGGGCACAGGAAGTAACAGAAATGTTAGCTCTGTAGTAAAGTTTTTTGGAGGAAAAAAAGGATACAGCAACACTTACTCTCAACAGCGTGCACTGCAAAAACAAGCAGAGTAGGAGAGAAAAGAGAAATGTTCAGGTCCTCATAATAAAAGACACAGAGATTCAGGTAGAGCAGAATTTCAAACTCATACCAAAAAGGAGAAGAGTAACAAAGATATCTTTGCTAGTCTACTTTCTAGGCCGTATTAAATGACTCCCTAGCTAGCCAAAGACTGTTTATGGTCAAGCAATCATTTAAAGAGTAACAGAGAACCCAAAATGCAGGAATTAATCACCAAAAAGGAAAAACACTGTGGGATGTGCATATATTAAGTGAGCTCTAAAGCAGCATGCCAGACAACAATGCTGGTTATATTTAGGTTTTCAGTCATAAGGTAACACAGAGGTCATTTTAGGAGCAAACAAAGCTATCCAGAAATGCACTCAAGGTTTACATTCACAACATATTAACATTCAAAGCTGGGTAACAAGGTTTTATTCTTAATCAGTCCTGTGCTACATTCATCCCATCTGATGCACACAGAAGGTAACAAACCATGAGGCTGCTTTTGTTCATTCTGTTGCAAGATCCCAAAAAGGTGAATACCAGGGAGGATGGGGGGCAGGGGAAATGTATGTTTGGTAATTATATCTCAAAGCAGGTTAAGTAAACTCCTTTTTTTTCTAATTTCAAAAGCCTGTTCATGTATATTCAGTGTGGTGCAATACATATATTCCACACTAATCAATAAGTGTCATACACTTACAGGGTCTCACAGACTTATGGGCCTGCAAATCCTTCACAGAGCAATCCTGATCCCCTTTGTCACATGTCACATCTCTTGTGATGCTTCTACAATAGCATGGGGTTTGGTATGGAGAAGGTATGGCTGCTCCAGAGGGCTCCTTGACAAATGTCAGGCATTCCCAACAAGTTCAGCTCCAACAGGTGACAGTGCAGTGACAAAATGTCACATCTGTGGTCTCCAAAACAGACTTCATATAAACTTGACAACAGTTTGTCCACCAGAAATGGGTGAGACTTTGTTGTCCTTCAGCACCCAGACAACCAAACTCTGAAAATTCAGAGTTCACCAGCACAAAAGGCCCTCAGCAATGCTGAGGATGAGACAAGACTCTCAGCCTCCTGTATTCAATGTGGGGATAAAAACAGTTCCCCAGCAGGCACTGCTGTGGGACAGAAGTTAGAATGAGCTCACACACGCTCCTCCGCTGGAAGGGACACTGTACAGGTGATCAACAGAGGGTTTAGATTTCCTCCACACTGGACTGGTGTCCTTGACTGATGGAGATTGAGGCCCACATAATTTTTTCAAGAATGTTGATGGGCAGAAGAGCTCAGATAAGGAACTTGTATAGGTAGAGGCCTTTGCAACAGTAACAGGCCCACAACTGATAGGGCTACAGGAAACCAACAGGGAAAGAGGCTGCAATCTCTGCAGCAAAAAACCAGTTAGTGTCACTTACTCTTGGTTGACATTGAGAAGATGCCAAGGGACTTGAAAAATGACAACCAGTCTGCAGTCAAAGACTTGGTATCATTTTGCAATTCAGGAATTGAAACATTTAAAAGTATGCCAAATAAGAGAGGCTATTAGGGGTCATCCAGAGTATCCAAGGATGCCTTCAAATAGGAAATAAACCCTCCCTTAAGTACATAAGCAGAACACCAATGAAGATGTACAACTGACCAGTGGCTTTGGGCTCTTAGAGAGCTAACAAAGCTCCACACCTTTCTAAGCAAAGCTTGGTGGCTCCAAAGAGGCAGCTCCTTTTCCAAGACCATCATCATCTCAGAAAGCAGATTACCTGCATTTTTCCTTCCACAATCATCATCACGAATAAGGAGGAAAACAAATGGTAATGTCAAAAATAGCAACTTCAAAAATGCTTTGTTCCTACAGCTGAGCACAGTAGGGTGTAAGAAAACCACAAAATCTGGACCACACACAGACTGCTTCACCCACAGAAATTGTCACAGCCGTCGAGAGAGTGTCTTCAGGACAGAGAATGTCCTGCATGTTGTCATCAGCATCAGCTTCTTTTCTAAGGAATTGAAGGAATCTCATGAGACACTTTAAGTAACCCTGAAACACTGTCAATAAAGCATGCTGGCCAATGTCTTTTCTAAAAACCAGTGATGATGGCACCTCAGCACCAGAATGGTCCAAAGACAACCTAAAGGAAGCATGAGAAATCTCAGCTTCCCCTTGACCAAAAGAAACAGGGCAGTGAGGAAGGAAGTGATATGGATATCTATCTCCTGAGGAACCCACCACTGAGGACTCTTGTGTATGCAGGAAACTTGCTGCCAAGCACTGCAGATGAAGCAGGATTCAGGCATGGACAGACACGGCAGCAGGACCAGGACCACACACCTTGGAGCTTCCCCAGCTCCCAATCACTCCCCTCTCCTCTGAGACGGGAAAGGAAGAGAGAAGGTGGGAGCTGCTGCAAAGAAAACAGCCACGATATCCAGGCACAAAGAGGCACAGCTGGTGCTGGGGGCTGTCCTTACAGAGGCACAGGTGAAAGACAGAAGCTCACCAAAACACGTAGCATGTGCATGAACCAAACCTCATCTCTCTCTCCTAAAAATCTCAGTTTAGGATTCAAAGCCTAAACAGGCAACAGTGAAGCCACTCCAACCTCAGCTAGAACCAAATGAATAAGCAGGGTTTGAGGCTGTGCTGCTTGGAACAGAAGGCTCTAAATATCAGTAATGTTTGGCTCTCCCTTAGTGCAGGAGAGCCAGAACTACCAGTTTCAGTGCCAAAAAATCTGATGGGAAGTGCTCCAGTCCTCCTCACACTCTCTTTCAATCCTCCTCCTAATGATCTGGGATTCTCAGAGCAGCTGGACCACGGACGAGCTGAGGAACAAGACAAGACCATTTGCAGCCAGGATGACATTCAGGAGCTGGGGGTCTTCTCTGGCACTGGTGATGCAGCATCACAGTGCAGGCCTAAAGCAGTCAGTGTGCAATGCTTCCACTCACTTGGGATGAAAATCAGCCTCACTGCTGGCTTCAAAAGCAACACATTTCCAAAGCTTCAGCTCAGATGCTCTGGGAAAGCAGCATGTGAAGTGCAGAGATGGAGTATCTGTCCAAGAAGTGCAAGCATTATATTTATGCACTTGCTATAAGGTAATTAACCATCACAGATGGCACAAAGGCATAAGATCAGCTGTGTGAATCATCTTAGAGAGGGCGATTCTGATGACCTGAGATTAGGAATGAGTAGCATCTAGTAATAGTGAAATATGAACAAAGCCTATATTGCAGAAATACCTCTAGGAGTAAAGTGCTCAAATGAAGAGCTGAGAAAACAACACCTCCTTATGCAAATAAAAAGGTATAAAGATTGTGCTACACATAACTGAAGATAAATAACTAAACAGGAATAAAATTGCACCTTATACAGTGCTGGTCCTGGTTTGCATGTGTGTCAGCCCTGTGCCTTCTCTTACTTCTTATTCTACTCTCTGAAAGAAAAAAGCCATTTCGACTTGCTTCTCCCCAGGAGAGAAGTTTGAAGATGTTAGAACCAAGCACACGAGTTCAGAACCCCAGATCAGGGTGACATTTGCAGTCAGATCTCCAAAGTGCTGCTGAATGGGAGCCTTGGCACTGTCACAGCGGTGCCTCTGCCCATTCTCTGCCTGGGGATCCACAAAACAACAGGAACCCTCAGGAGAAGGGGAGAGGAACAGGGCAAGAAACTGAAAAGCTGCTGTGCAAGCTTCAGTATTTGCAAAGCACCAGAGAGTGAAACTGTGGGCTCAGGTCCAGCCATGAGCTGTACAAACGTGGTACAGATACTCCAGGGGGAGGCAAGGAGAGCGGTGCAATGGACTGAACTTTCCACAGTACTGATATTCTTCACCCCCAGCTTCTCTACTGATTCACATCACTAGGGAAGAGAAGGGAGGAGCAAAACTGCTGTCAGTCATTACAGTTCTGCATCAAGCAGGTGCAGTAAAATTATTATTTTTAGTGTGTTGTTAATGTGACTTCTGACAGTAACAGTTTGGAATATTCAGACCTCTCTTAGACATTCAACTTCCCCCTGTGTGACGTTCTGTCAAGTGTATTAACAGGACTGAGCACTAATGGAGACCTTACTGAAGGGATGAAACATCACACACATCTACAGTTTTGTGTGGAACAACAATCCAAACGAGATCTTTCCATGTGAGTTCTGGAAATATCTCACACATCTCTGTCCTCAAATATTAGTCAAATTCTTTATCTGTAATTAAAGGGGGAAAAACCCCAAGGACTGTGAAGAAAGGTAATACTGAAGTATGTACAAGAAAATGACCAAGCTCTCAGCTGCCCATTTCCCTTACAGGTCAGGGAAAACTCCTTGTTTTTTGGTTAGTACCACGGAAACACTGCCAAGGAAAAGGCTGGGTAAAAAGGGAAATCACACGTTACAAGGACTAGGAAAGCAAGAGAGAACAAAGGAAGAAAATCACGAGGCCACTGCCTACATCATGCTTAGCCTGGACCTTAATTCTGGGTGCAGTCTGGCACCTGCAGACAGAGCTGAACTGAAAGAGGCTGAGAAATCCTGCAAGGATGCTCAGAGGTCGAACTCCTTCCACAAAGGACCATCTGCATAAGCTGTGACTTTTCTGCTGGGGAAAGACATAACCTGAGCCTGGCACAGGAAAGGTCTAGGACATCCTGAGAGGCAGGGAGAGAGCAGGCAGGGCCCACACACTCTTTTCCCACAGAGGAAGAGGCCAGGGGGAGCAAGCAAATGAGTGGATGTGTTCTGCAGGTTGGCAGTAACTGTACAGCCCTCTTGGGTTTCACCTTTTTTCTCCCCCTGAATTTTCAATTCAGTTGTGCAAGACTTCTGGGGGAGATGGAATTAGACAGCTTTCCTGAGCTCATCCCCTCCTCTCTGTACAGGAAGTACTTGCTCTCAGGCAGCCAGTCTGCATTCCTGCCTGTTACAGAGAGCAGATGCAATGCAGAGATGCTTCTTGGATACGTGCTGTGACAGAATCAATCCTGGCTGCAGCAAGGTTGCTGTTGCCATGCAAGTTTAAGCACACAAAGCCAAATTTTGCCACAATAAATGAAGTATTTTTTTAAGAATCAATACTGTGTGGAAAACCAGGCTTTTTTTTGCTGTTGTTGCTTGCACAAAGCTGCTTCTTCATCTGTAGAAACTGTGCTCAAAAGTTTGTTAGTTCTTCTCCAAATACACCAGTTACTCTCACGAGTACACTGCATTCTCCCCTGATCTTCACCTCAGTGGTACAGGGTAGACTGGAGTGAGGGACAGAAGGGAAGAAATCCAGGCTGACTTTACAGCGCTTTGTGAAATTTCAAGCTTCAAAACCTTGACCAAGGGAAAAGATGGATTTGATGGGTTCAGTGGATGGTCACATCCAAAGGGTAGTTGGTGGTCAATGGCTCAATGTCCAGATGAAGATCAGTGACAGGTCGTGTCCCTCAGGGATCCATGTTGGGACCAGTAATGTTTAATATCCTCACAGTGACAGTGGGACTGAGTGCACCCTCAGCAGTCTGCAGATGATTCCAAGCTGACTAGTGAGGCTGACATGCTTGAGGGAGCAGATGCTGTCCAGAGGGACCTGTACAAGCTCAAGAAGTGGGGCCTCATGAGCCTCATGAGGTTTAACGTGACCAAGTGCTGGTGCTGCACCTGGGCTGGGGCAATCCCTGGTATCAATACCGGCTGGTGGATAACAAGTCAAGACCAGCCCTGGAGAGATGGAGTTGAGGGTGTGGTGGATGAGAAGCTCAACACAAGCCAGCCACGTTCAGTCCAGAAAAGACCTGCACCCTGGGCTTATCCCCAGCAGCGTGGGCAGCAGGGAGGGGGCAGATTGTCCCACTCTATTCCACTCAGGTGAGACCTCACCTGCAGTGCTGCCTCCAGCTCTGGGGTCACCAGTCCAGGAAAAATGTGGACCCGCTGGAGAGAGTCCAGAGGAGGCCACAAGAGATGCTCTGAGGGCTGGAGCCCCTCTGCCCTGGAGCCAGGCTGGGAGAGCTGGGGGTCTTCACCTGGAGGAGACTCCAGGGAGACCCGAGAGCCCCTTCCAGTGCCTAAAGGGGCCCTACAAGGAAGATGGAGAAAGACTTTTTAATAGGGCCCATTGTGACAGGACAAGGGGCAGTGGTTTTAAACTAAAAGAGTGTAGATTCAGACTAGATACAAGGAGGTAATTGTATGTGCCAAAGGTGGTGAGGCCCTGGCACAGGTTGCCCAGGGAGGTGGTGGATGCCCAATCCCTGGAAACATTCAAGGCCAGGCTGGATGGGGCTCTGAGCAACCTGGTGTAGTGGAAGGTGTCCCTGCTCGTTGCAGGGGGGTTGGACTAAGCTGGCCTTTAAAGGTCCCTTCCAACTCAAACCATGCCATGATTCTATAAACAACCACTACTGTTCTGGCTGCTGTGTGTTTATATATATCTACCTGAGGAAGTCCTTCACAACTTCAATTTGACTCTGAAAGTCCTAAGTGGCAGAAAATACCCCTTCCAGAGGTACTGGTACTCAGGTCCTGGACTGAACACCTCACCTGAGGTTGTTTTACTGCAGAGCAGCAAAGTTTTGTAGAACTGAGAGACTGCCCAGAAACATTCCCTCCCAAGTTCTTCCATGCCCATGTGGCAGCATCTCTAGAAACCACTTTTCTGCTTGTCCATTATAGTTCTAAACCTCTGTAACAAAACTGTAACATCCTCCCCACTGAAGCAGTGGTGTTGTTATTCTGTATAGCAATTCAAAGACATTAAAAGAAAACAGTCAGACACACTTGAAAGCAAAAGGTCACAATAAGCAGGACTAAAAAAATACTTTACCATGTACATGAGACTGTTGGAAACTTTTTCCTGGCGCAAAGTGGAAATTTCCAGCTACCTGCAGGAGAGGGAAACCTTTCATTAAATGGTCCAAGGCTATGTAAGTAAAGTCGTTGTACTGGTGTTTGGATTTTTGAGACACCAAACAACTCATTTTCACAGGGGACAGTGTCAGCAGATGTTATTATAAGAGAGGTATGAATTTCCCCTGCTCCTCACAGGCAGTGGCAGTGAAAGCCATAATTACATACTGATGTGGATAACAGCTGTTCTCTGCAGATTATTCAGTGGACATAAAAATGGGAAGAAGGCACTAAACCTACCATAAAAAAAATAAATCCCAAACAAACAAAAACCAAAACCAACCACAAAAAAACCCCCACAAACAAAAAATCCAAAAGATAAACTGCTGAAATTTAATCCTGGATTTTGAAAGTGGATATTAGGTGCCAATGTTCCCTGACACTTACTAGCAATCATATACACACACAAAAAAAGAGTTTGAAATACAACAAACCAAAAAATAGCGTAGGTTTGACTTCCAGAAGGCACTTGGGTATGTAACCTGTTCTGGTTTAGGTAACCTGCCAAATGGCAGGGTGGTTACACAGTTACCTGGTGCATCTTGTACATTTTCATAGATCACTTGCAAAAAACACCTCTCAGCATTTTCAGCTTTGACAACCAACTCCAATAGCTTTGCTTCCACTGTTATTCTAAAGAAGATAACACTTCACCCTCCAGGACCTCTGCAGGCAAGCTGTTGGTTCCTGCTATCTCCAGCATCTGATTTAAGACTAGAAAGGCAGGTGGGACAATTCAAGCTCAAAGAAGCTGCCTCTCCTCCTCCAGAAATCTCAGCAAAAAGACTCAGTACCCAGGTGGGAGAAAAACATGAACTTTTTCAGCTGCCACGCTTCCTACCAGCCCAGAGAACTCGGCAAACCAGAATTAGCTTCCCACCACTTTCCCGGACTCTTCTCCCGGACCCCACGACGGGGACCTTGCTGATCCCAGAGGTTATTCCCTGACAGACCTAAACCTGGAAAAGGAGAGGAACGCCCCAACTCTGCCTTTCCACAGCCTTCACCATCATGCAGCAGGTTCACAGCAAAAGCTCTCTCTCACCTTGTTGACCTCTAAGAAACCATACACTTGGCAGCCCTCATTCTTCTGCTCTTGCATTTTCTGGCTAAACCCTTCCCTCTTGCACTGCTCTATGCTGTCCGGGTTCTTGAAGGCCCAGCCTCGCCGCCTGTATGCTTCTCTGACATCATCACAAGTGTTACAACACCTGCAAAAAGCACAAGCACCATCTTACCCATCTGTAGTGCTAAGAAGAGATGCTCCAGCTCAGGACTGGAATCCTTGATGGATCCTTCTTCAACAAAGCAATAAAGCAAACGCTGGGGACTGGACATTGAAAGGTGGTTTAATGTTCCTGAAGGAGCTCGAGCCTTTGATGCACCTTCTGAGATTTTGAGGTGAGGGTTCAAGCTCTTTGAATGCAGGACTGGAGTCTAAAGAGGGCTCTGCCTGCCCATGCCACATAAACAACATCAGTGTCCCACAGCTATGAGCAGTTTGGAGCTTCTTCATGTGAGCAAAGCATCTCCCTGTTTCTATTCCTCCTTTCCTCTGTTTTTAGGCCAAGACATTGGGCTAAAAGGGAGGCTTAATAGCAAAATTTCTTTGTGCTTTTCTACCTCTGGATAACAACTTGGTTACCAGAAAAAAAAGCAGGTTTCTTCCTTGGTTCCATGTTTGAAGGCAGGAATTATGAATCCCTCAACATGGAAACATCTCTGGGGAAGAACACAACTTGACAGATGGGACAAACCAAGTTACTAACAAGCCAAAAATAGCTAAATTTAGTCCAGAACATAGGGACTATCATGGATCCATTCTTACAGGAATTTGCAGGTAGGAGGAATGAGAAACACCAAAAGACACTCACTGTTTGTGCATGTTATAGATGTCTGGCCTTTGCTCCTGTAAGGATGCAATGCCAGCAGCAGAGGTGAGAAGGCAAGGCCATAACCAGGTTTTATGTCAGGACAGCTCATGTAACAGTGAAATCATTTACACACCTCCCCTCTGGACACCAAATAAACCCAGAAAATATCTCGTCTGCCGAGATACAATCTCTTGTCCAAGCTGCTTAAACAGGCATGTAGACAATGCAGACAACCTAACTGCACCTTCTTATCAATCACGAGTGCAGCTTTCAAAGGTAGAGCCAAACCACAACAGCTCTCATCACTCTCTGAACACACGTCCAGGAGGAGGATTTCATTGCACAGGCCTGCACAGACATTTGAAAAAAAAATACACATGCCACACACCTATATGAACTCAAGTGCTAAGAAGATAGGGAGAAGGTGTAAAGGTTACCGAATGTCCTCCGACTCTGCCCCGTAACAGCTCTCGCAGCGATCGGCATCCAAAGAACTGGGATCAAACACTTTTTCTTCTTCTTTCCCCAGCTCTATGACAGAAGAGGATTCAAAGTGATGAGGCCTGTCTAGAAACTCTTGTCTTGTACTCTTGTTCTGCTCTATACACAATGTGCAGCTGCACATCCTGCACCCAAAGCCCACCTGAACTGGTGTGTACAGAGCCTGCCGAGGTGTGAAGTAAGACACGAAGTGTAGCATTTGTCATCTCAAGAACAGCCTCCTTGGAAAGAACTGGCTATCTGTAAGCCTTGCTGGAGCACCAATCAGACATTACTTGCATAAAGACTTTCCTAAAACATTGCCTAAAGTAGACCCAATCAATGCACTGTGACTGATGCACGACCTGCTTCACAATACACTGAACAGTTTTTGTTCCCAGGCATTAAATTTGCAATATCACAACCTGCAAGGGCTGCTGAGTGACACAGCAGTAGGAGAACTACCACCACATTCCCATGACAACTGGAGACTGCCAACTGTTCAGCTCTTGGCTTAGTTTAGCCTTTCAATATCAACAACAGAAATGTTAAAACCGAGTGATACAAAGCTACACATTTGGTCATGCCTATACACAGAACCACACTGACTCCCAGGAAAGGGAATAAGGAGCTCATGTTTTGGAAAGGAAAAGTCAGAACAGTATAACTGTGAGGTTGCATTGCTTTGCCAGAATCATTTCTAGTTCGTATCGAAGTACAGTGATGAGTCATAACATGTAAAAAAACGTAGAGGAAAGGTTTATGAAGCCAAGGATCACTTACTACAGCTTGTAACCAATAAATCAACTCAAATATATTTATCAGGTATCCATTAACACATATAAAGTTAATAATGTGCAAGTTTGGGCTTAAGGATCAAGTCACTGGAGCCTTCCCTGGAGAGAGGCTCTTTCCTTGAACCACATTGTTCCATCTGTCCATCTACTGTGATTTAAAGATACAAACAAAGCAAAGTATTGATTTCTAGTCACAAAAGATCACTAACTGAGCACTTTATACCTCAAATGCATCCATGGGTCCTTGCCATAATTTCAGAGAGACCAAACAAAGATTTCCTTGCAAAACTAGGGAGTATAAGAGTAGTTTGACAGATTCGTGTGCTACAAAGTCTTCAAGACTTTGTGGCACTTAAAAATTCTACAGCTGTCACTTGTTCCTGTGAATCTCAAAACAGGCATACAGTGGGAAGACTACTGGAGCATCCATCCAGGACAGGCAGAACAGCATCTTACCATGTCTCTCTGCCTCTGGTGTCACCCGATTGCCAGCTTTATCCAAACGCTGTTTAAACAGATTGTGCTCGACATCCAGCTGCTGCTCTCCTGCTACGTCCATGGCATCGATGCTCAGATCTGAAACCAACGAGCAAGGAAAGGGGTCTATAAATACACCTTTGTTATGGGCTCATCTAGCCTCTTAAGCCCTTGCCGAGGATGAAAATCATTCTCAGTTTTCACAAGTCTGACTCACAAGCACAAGGCATATGTGGAAAAATAACATCTAGATTAATCTTCAGTTTATCTCCCCTTGATTTGTCAACGTACAGTTCCGGATGAACCTGGGAACAAAGAAAAAAACAGAGAGTCCCATTTCACTTGGAAGCAAACCAAAAGATCCCTTTCCCTCGAGTGCTACGGCCCAGAAGCTGATTTTTAAGACGGGGTATTGGCCAGAGACCTGAGCTGCTGCCGCCCACAGGGCAGCTCAGCGCTTGCCACTTGCAGTGGCGTTAAAAAAGAGAATAACTGGGAGACCCCTGAACGTGGGGAAGGGCAGGGGTCCCTCGCTCGCTCCCCCTTCCTGGCCGGGCAGGCCAGCCCGTCCCCGGGGCAGCACCGAGAACCGCGCCGGCAAAGCCGCCCCTGGGCCGGGACTCACCTCCTTGGTGAGGTAGTACTGCAGCTCCGAGAAGAAAAGCAGCACCATGATGAGCCCGCTGACAGCCGTCACTGCCGGGGAGAGGAGAACGGCCGTCAGCGCCGCCGCCCGCCCGCCAGGGCCCCCGGCCGCCCGCAGCCCCTCGCTCACCCAGCGCTCCCCCGCACGTCTTCACCCGAAAGTCCTCCAGCGTCTTGGGGAAGGCGTCGAAGCGCTTCAGCCGCCACAGCGAGTCCATAACGCGGCGCGGCCCGGAACAGAACGGCCCTTCCGGGGCCGGGCTCGCCCCCGGCCCGCCCCTGGCGGAGAGCGGCGCGGCCTGCCCGGGACACACGGAATGCCAGGGACACCCGGGATGCCCGGGGCACACGGAATGCCCGGGACACACGGCCTGCCCGGGACACACGGACTGCCCGGGACACCCGGAATGCCCGGGACACCCGGCCTGCCCGGGACACCCGGCCTGCCCGGGACACACGGACTGCCAGGGACACACGGGATGCCCGGGACACCCGGCCTGCCCGGGACACACGGACTGCCCGGGACACGCGGCCTGCCCGGGACACGCGGCCTGCCCGGGACACACGGAATGCCCGGGACAGCCGGAATGCCCGGGACACCGGGAATGCCCGGGACACACGGGATGCCCGGGACACACGGACTGCCCGGGACACACGGACTGCCCGGGACACACGGACTGCCCGGGACACACGGAATGCCCGGGACACGCCATTTCACTCCATTTCCGTCTGCTTTAATTTGGGGGGAGGGCTGAAACTCTCTGCTGATGGTGGCTCGAGTGTGACCCTCAGTGCAGCTCCCCAGCCCCCTTTGTTTGCCCCGCTGTCATTCCTGGTTCCAGAGCCCCCTGGCTCTGCAGGAGGCAGAGCTGCAGCACTTTGGGCTCCGTCCCTGGCCCAGCCAGGGCTCTCGGGCAGGAGCAGCACAGCCCCTTCCCACCTGCTCTTGCCTTGGCTTTGCCTGGGAAGCCAGAAGCCTCTGGAAATCAGCACGGCCGCTCGTGTGCCCAGGCTGGGTCAGCTCCTGCTGCTGGGCGAATCCTGCCTATTCCAACCGCTTCCAGCAAGGAATAAATGCAGAACTGCAGGTGGACTTCCAGAGGTGCCACGGGAATGGGAAGTGCTGGTGCAGATCTGTGGGGATCTGTGTTTGGAGTTACTACAGCTCTCATGCCAATAGTCCCACTGAAGGAACAAACTAGCCTGGGGTAAATCCAATCCCTCTTGTTGCCCGTAATGAGAACACAAACTAACAGAGTGTCAGTTTATGCGGTGCTTTATTCAGGGCCCGGGGTCCCTGTGGACTCCTGTCCCAAGACAGGTACCCAAAGACCCACATTTTGAACGCATCTTTTATACTATTTTCCAAGCAAGGTTACATGATTGGTTTTACATTTCACAGGAGACATAGCAGTTAAACATAAACTTACATATCACTTTGATTATATTCAAATATTAATCCATTTACCTAACTGTAAACATCGTGTAATTAAATCCCACCACCAGATTACATCCTATCTCTAGTTGCAAATTTTTCTTGTCTCGGTTCTGCTTGACTTATTGTTTCTTTTTGGTCAGCACAGCCTTAATGTCTAACCAGTCCCAACTTAGCTCTGACAAGCCCTGACTTGTTTCTGGCAGGGGCCTTTTCAGGCCTATGCTCCAGACAAGCCTTAACCAAACTGCAACACTCTGACTTCTACAAAACCACTGGCCAGGTTTTTTGCTGGTGTAACATCAAGTGTGAAGCCAGACAAGCTCCAAACATGTTGAGACATTGGGTTTACAGCCTCTTATTGATGACTGTGGTCAGAGGGCATCTTCAAAGGCACTCGATGCTGGCAGTGTCTTGCCTGCAGCAAGGAGCAGGACCTGGAAGATCATCTGTCCCTCAAACTTTATTGCCTACAGGAGCAACTAACCAGCTGATAACTGTCAGAAAACAGTTCCCAATAACATTTCTTTTAAATATTTTCCTTAAAGAAATATCCAGTGGTCAGGATTATCACCACATAGTTTAGAAACTGAAACTAGAGATGAATTAATTAATAAGCTCTCTTTTCTAGCACAGGTAGTAAACACCAAAGATTCAGAAATAGACACAGTGTCGATGCACTTGAGGGGAAAATGCGTCATCTCCCTGATGGCAGAGCCCTCGTGGGTCCTGCAGATTTTAGGCAGGAAATAGCAAAGAATTAAAGATAATATTTTCAAGTTCTTTGACACCCACTCCGCACCCCCTGCTTACATTTTGAACTAAAATAATATAGTGTGTACATTTGAGATTTGCTCCTACCCTTTTTCTTCGCCCTGGATCTCAGTTTGTTCTTGGACAGCCTGCAGGCAGAGGGCTGGTGGGCTGCTGTGCTGTTGGCTGGAGAGTTGCTGAGCCCAGGTGTTTTATAAACCCTCTAGGCAGCAGAGATGTCCTGTCTGGGCTGGCTTTGACTCCCAGGGCCTGAATGGCTTCTCCTTTTTTCACTGCTATTTCACTTCTAGGGCTTTTGGAGCTGTTCCTACGGCACTCGGCATAGCCACAGGAGGAGAGGGAAGTGTCAACACCCCCAGCAGATCTGGCAGCTCCCGAGTGCTTTCCCTGCTGCTGTGAGCTGTGGCTGGAGCTCTGGCTCCACAGCAGATCTTCCCTGCAGAGGCCAGTGTCAGCCTGCAAAACATGCTTTGGACAGACCTTGTCCCTTCTCTGAAGGAATGCAGGGAGGGCAGCAGTATCTTTCAGAGAACGACATGCTGGCTGAGCCAGAGGAAGCCACCAAGGTGCTCAGGGGACTGGAGCACCTCCCCTCTGCAGACAGGCTGGGAAAGCTGGGGCTGTCCAGCCTGGAGAAGAGAAGGTTGTGTGGAGACCTCAGAGAAACCTTCCTGTGTGTGAAGGGGCCTCCAAGGAAGCCGGAGGGGGACTCTTGTTCAGGAACTTTTGTGACAGGACAAGGGGGAATGGGCTCAAACTGTCAGAGAGGAGGGTTAGATTTGATGTTAGGGCTGTATTGTTTCCTGTGAGGGTGGTGAGGCCCTGGCAGGGGCTGTGCAGAGAGGCTGTGGATGCCCCATCCCTGGGAACATTCAAGGCCAGGTTGGACAGGGCTCTGAGCACCCTGCTCTGTGGGAAGGCTGTTCAGGTCAGAACAAGATGATTTTAAGGGTCCCTTCCAAGCCAAACCAGTCCGGATTCCACCATTCCCTGATCCCCATTGTCGTGGAAGTGTCCCTGGACCTCCTGTGACATCCCAGCTGCCAGAGCTGTGCCGTGTTCCATGTGGAACTGCCAGTGCCCGGTGATGAGCACAACGCAGCCATTCCCCTGCTGCCAGCCAAGGGTCAGCAGCTCCCAGAGCTCCCTCGTCAGGTGACCCCCGAGAGACCCATCAGTCCTGGACTCTCCCTGCTGTCTGGAGCTCAGCATCAATAATCCCAGCAGGATGTGCAGCCTTATCCCTATGAAGGTACAGTGCCATTCCATGGAGCTGGGAACCCCCAACCACCTGGGATGGCAGCTGCTGTGGGGATGGTGTGGGATAGGGACCCTCTCTGAGGTTGTGCTCCCTGCTGCAGGGTCAGAGAGACGCCACGGAAGACATGGAGGTAGACGATGTGGTGCGCATGGATGAGATGATGGAAGTGGATTTGGAAGAGCCAGTGGAGGAGATGGAAGTTGATTTAGTGGAGGAGATCGAGGATATGGATGTGGATGAAGAAGATGAGGAGGAGGCCATGGTGCTGGGCTGAGGAGAGTCCCCCAGCAGCAGGACAGGCACGTCCTGGCCATGCCCTGCCCCAGGGACAGGGGGTCGCTGCCGCCAGGCTGGGGCTGGGCTGGGTGGCCCCGCTCAGGGACCACCCAGCAGGGCCCGACTGCACTGACTGTGCCCTTGCTTTTCTTCCAGGACTGACGGACGTGCCCGACATGCAATCAGCAACACTGTACATATGTTCTTCATTTTTTTGTTTTGTACATACGTTTTATATTTTTGATAGTTTAAGAAAATAGTTGTTATATATGTTTTTTTCCAGAGAAGATAGTTGTTTTAATAGAAAATAAGTTTTTTTATAAGAAGATAGTTTCTCAATTAAGAAGATAATTTTTTAAAAGATTTTTTTTTAAAGAAGATAGTTTTTTTAAGAAGATACGTTTTTAATAAGAGAGTTGATTTTTTAGAAGAAAGTTGTTAAGAAGTCATATTTATTTTTTCCTATAAAGAAAACAATTGTTTTTAAAAAGAAGACTGTTGCTTTTATAATGATGATTTTTTTTTTAAGAACATTGCTTTTAAGATAAAAATTTTCATTCTGTAAATATATTCTGTACAGATGTTTAACTTGTTGCTGTTGTGTTGTCCTTCTGTAACACATTGTTTGGGGGTGCTGGCACGGCCCCCCAGGCTGGGGGTCCCACTTGGGAAGGTGCCGGCCCTGGGGCCCTTTGGAGGCGGCCGAGCTGTGCCCCGGGCCGGCTGTGGGAAAGCAGTCCTGGCAGAGTCCCAGGGCTTTGTAGGGAAAAACTGAAAGGATTGGGAGAAAAGAGGAGGGGGAAGGAGGAGGGCGAAAAAAGGAGCGGAGATGGGGAGGGCCGGAAAAGGTGGGGGAAAAAAAAGCGGTGGGGTAAAAGGGGGGTGGAAAGGCGGCAAAAAAAGAGGGGTAGGGAAAAGAAGGGGTGCAAAAAGCAGAGCAAGAAAGGGGAGAGGAAAAGGGAAAGAGGGGGAGAAAAGGGGGAGGGAAAAGACAGGGAATAAAAGGCAGATTAAAAAAAAGGGGGGAAAAAAGGGAAGGGAAAAAGGGATGGTGGAAAGGAAGCAGGTGGAAGGGAACTCCCTCTCTCTCACCCACCTTTGATTCCTGCTATGTTCTCTCCACCCCTTTCCTCCAATTTCCATTTCTCCTTGCAGCAAACAGCTCTGCCCTCAAGAGGGGAAATCACACAACAGCCTCATTGGGCCCAGTAAAGACATGTATAACCTTCTTCTAAAAAAATTTTATTAAGAAAATTTTTTTAAGTGTCTGGCTCTAAGAGATGATTGGAAATGCAAACAGAACAAATGCTGTTATGCTACTTTAACTGTTTGTAGCACAACCTTTATGGTCCTTTTATTGGAGCAGCTGCCCTGGGACAGATGTCACCCAGAAGTCTTACCTGTTCAGGGATTGTTCATGTTTGGGCTTCCTTCTCCACACATCATTCTCTCTCCTTACCTACGTCTTCATTCTCACATATTCACAGTTTGTCCCCAAAAATCACCTGTCCGATATAACACTTCATAGATCCTAATCCTCAACGTAAGGTGAGGTTTGACAGCACCAGCTGACTGGGAGAGGAACAGAGAGAAAAGGCAGGGAGCAGCCTTGCCCTGAGGAGTTCATCCCATTTCTCACATCCAAGAGCTCTCTGTCTTAGCAGAAATCCTTCCATTCAGATGGAGAGCAGAGGTGCTGTTACCTCAGGTCGTGGCTTCTGGCAGGTGGGGCTGCTGGATGCACTGTCTGTTTCTCAGGAGATTGACAGTCCAGGGACGTCAGGGCCAAGTTCAGAGACTGATCCAGCTTCTGAGTCTCTGCTTCCAGAACAGCAGCTCTGGGCTCCCGGAGCACAGCTGCTAAGGAGCAGGACAGCTCCTGGTGAAGGTCTGACAGCTCCTGGTTGGTCCTTGCACAGCTCTCAATGTAGTTCTGCCTGTGCTGTCGGTCTCGTGCCAGCTGGGACTGCAGGAGGGACACCTGAAAGAGGCACAAAGCTGAGCTCAGACAAGCCCATGCTGTCAGGACCAGCCATAGCTCCACAGTACCAGCAGTTGGGGCAGACACAGCCCCAACCAGCCCTGACAAACACTTGGACCCTGTGGAAGGGAAAGGAACAGGCTCCCAGAGTCCCCTGAACAGAGCTCAGCTTATCAACACGTCAAGTTATTTGCTGGCCAACCCTTCCCATGTACAACCCTCAGCCATCACAGGTCTATTAGAGAGGGAGTTCCAACAGGATTTACTAACGCAGCTCTGATTTTCAGCTTTGGGCCATGAGCCCTCAGTTCCACAGGCTGTGCCTCAGCAGGAGGGCTGCTGCTTACCCAGGGTACTGGAGAACTGCTCTGCTTGAGCACCTGGACAGCTGGCCCAGGGAAAGGGAGCAAACTCTGCCTCTCCCAAACTTTAGAGCATCCCACACGAGCGCAGGAGAATGTGGTGAACAAAGCCCAGGGGCCTCAAAGCAGTGCTGAAGCCTTGGAACTCCTCAAACTTTGCTCTTTCCTGACCCCAGGGGGTTGTGCCTGCTGGGCTGGTGTGGGGGCAGAGCTGCTCCCACCTCCTGCTCAGTTTGACCTCCTGCCAGGCAGTCAAAGGATGCACCAGGGTTCAGCAGCTGGAATGAACCTTCTTACACTGATAAACCAAACACCCTCAGAGGGCTGAGGTCTCTGACTGGGCCCCACAGCAGCATGGTGATTAGCACAGCACAGCAAGAGGAGACTGAGGATGGCCTGAGGGCTCTCAGCTCTGGCACTGCCTCAGAGCCCTGGACCTGTCCACCACTAATGGAAGCAAGGGAAAATGGGGACAGGAAACAAAGAGGAACATCCTGGAACAGGATGCCCATCAGTAGAGCCACAGCAGCTTTTGAGCAGAGGTTTCCTACTCCTCACCTGGTTCTGTAACTCAGCTAATCGCTGACTGCAGTGAGCGTGAGACTCCTCCTGTGAAGAAAACACAAAGATTTCATTTTAGTCTGCAGCTTGGTTAGGGCCATGATCTATATTTGACTACCATTAGGTCTGTAATGGGGGGCTGCTGCCACTGGGATTTGCCCTTGCTCCTCTGTACAGCCAGAGCCTCCTCCCACCAAGGAAGATTCTGTTCTCACCTGCCTAGAGGTGGACACTTTGTGCTGATCAGACTGGGACAGAGACGATCCACAGGCACCTGGGAGAATCTGACCCCTAAAACATCTCTTCAGCCTCCTCCGTTCATGTTCCACCTGCACATTGGATGGGAGAATGGTCACAGAAACCTGCCAGCAACCAAGGAGCAAAAAGGACCTCTGGACATCGAGGCAAGGAGATCTCTGCTCAGAGACCTTTAATTGCACCAAAGAACAAACAAAGGACTCGATGTGGGCTATGGAAGAGAGTCAAGTGTGTCTGGGGACACTGGGGGAAGGAGGGTGGTACTGCAGTCAAGGTGCATTTGTGAAGGCCATGGGGTGCCAGAAGAGAGAGGAAAATGCAGAGGGTGTGCCCACAGCAGGAAGGAGAGGGAAGGAAACAAGCAGAGGACTCCCAAGTGCTGCCTGGGGAAACGTGTCATGGTTCAGAGGACCATGAGGCTTTGCAGAGGAAGCAAAAGCCCATTTTACCTGCTCAAGAGTCCTCCTGAGCTCAGCATTTTGCTGCTTCAGCTCCACCTTCTCATCTTCCAGCCTTGCAACTGTTCGCTGCAGACATTCCAGGCTCTGCAATGTGAGTCTCTTCTCTGAGAGCCACGACAGCTGCTCCCCTTCTGCAACAGCCTGCTGGGCATTGAGAGAGGAGATTCCATGAGCTGCTGCCACATCAAGGTTAGAAGGGTGTTAGAACCAACACTTCAGGCAGAGTGACCACAACAGGAATGGACAGTGCTAAGGCCCTTCTCCTCCTGGTGCACAGCCCAAAGGAACACACCCTTTCTCTAGGGGCCCTCCTCCAAATCAGCTTGGAGAAGTGAGTTGTTTGTTCTGGATGTGCTTTCTGCTACTTTTGTTCAGTGTCCCCCATTCTGGTTTTGAGAGAGACTGCAAACATTCATTTCCTATTCAGCCACTTCGTAATTTTACAAAGGTCTGGAGTGTCTCCAGCTCCCTCTCTCAGCCATTTCATGCCCAACGTGAAGACTTCCACACTTAGACCTTCCTGTTAGGGAAGTTATTTACCACTTATGGTCATCATCTTTGACTACCACTGTACATCCTCCTATCTAGAGTTCTACTCTCTGTCCTTAGACAGCCAAACATGTGCAAGCTGTGGGTATGTATTTCTGCAGTGACTGAACACTACAGGTTTGTTCTCTGTTCTCTTTACCTGTTACATCCTCATCCAGAACTGCTCTGTGGAAAAAAATCACATTATCAGTCAAGCCATGTGCACTGCTCTGAACTTAGTCAGGAGTCACCTCCCCTGTCGTGCCTTACCTGATGAACTTCTTGGAGCAAATGTAGTCTTACCATCACCAACCAATCTCTGTGGATGCAACTGCATTTCCTGATCACCTGCTCTCGCCCAGCTGATCTATGTGGATGGAACTGAAATCTTCCGTTGTTTTCACATTTCCTGCACTTGTCACTTCTTTGCTTCCCATCAACAGGTCACAGGACCTGTCAGTATCCTGATCAGGCTGCCAGTAATACTTCTCAAGTTATGTGTAAATGTATAATGCATAAATACAGTGTTTACTTGGTAGTTTTCTTCTACATCAGTACACTAATGCCAGAACATTGGCAAATTCCTGGCAAAGCTGCAGCACAGGCTATTGCAGCTGTTCCACCAGCAGGACCTGGATCAGTTCACCTTGGAGAAATCCACACAAATTTACCTTAGTGCTTTTTGGACAGGGGCACAAGCATGTCCTGAATCAGCAATGAAGCCTTTAACCTGATCAGGCAATGGTATAAATCCCATTCTCTTTAGTACACTGGACAAGCTGTCCCTCAGAAACCTCCATGTCTGAGAGCATCCTCTGAGCTCCAGCAGTGCAGCTGCTGTTCAGCCATCGGTACAAAATGCTAAGTTCACTATATCAGTCTGGTCTGCAGCTCCCTGTTCTTTCCATGCCAAATCCAAGCCACCATGTGTTGGCTGAGCTTGCCTAGGCACAGAACCAGTTCCCCATGCCCAGCTTTTGGACTGGAGTTGATTTGGACAGCAAGCTCCACAGTTGTGTCAGTCGTTCCAGGCCTGCCAGGAAACATTCTCACAGGTGAATGGTCTCTGCTGGAGCCAGCCAGCCAGACAAGGTTGCTGGCTGCAGACCTGCCTACTTTGCCCAAACAGGAATTTATATTCCCACCTCTTGGAGGGAAACATCATTGGAACCCTTCATGGATGTTTGAGCTGAAAACCAATCCCAGTGCCTACCTGTTGATGAAATCGGTCTGTGTCCCGCTCCGAAACCATTCTCTGCAGGACGTCTAATTCTTTCAGCAGAGTCCCTTTGGTCATTTCACTCTTGCTAAGGGCAACTCTCAGGACTTGGGCTTTCTCTCTCCATTCGAGTTCTCTGCTTTGTGTCTGCCTCAAAGCGGCAGCCACACACTCCAACTCCTCCCCACTGGCTTTCCTCTCAGCTTGCCATTGCTGGGTAAGCTCCTTCTGCCTTTGCAAGAGATGGTCTCTCTCCTGGAGAACTTTCCTCTTCTCTATTACCTCTTCCTCCCATTTTTGGAGGTTTTGGATTTGTTTTTTTAGGGTCTCCCCCTCATCTTTCCATCGCAAAGCCGATGTTAATTCTTTCAGGAGTTCGCTCTCCCTCCTTAGCTCTTGTTCTCTCCCTGACAGTGTCTCCTCTAAATACCTGACTCTGTCTGTTTGATACTTGATCTCTTCATCCTTCTTCATCAGAGTCTGCTGAATGTGCTGGAGATCTTCCCGAAGAGCTCTTATTATCTCTTCTAACTCCTTTTGGTCGCTTTGAGCCGTGGTCTCTCCTTCTCTCTCAGGGAAGGCTTCTTCCAACAGCTTCTCTTGCTCTCCCTCATGTCTAACCTCTTCATTCTTCTCAGCTGGCCTAAGCTGGAGATCCTGCCAAGTCTTCACTAATTCTTCTTGGCGCCGGAGTTTTTGCAGAAGGGTTTCATTGTCTTCATCTTTCTTCCTCACCACCTCCTCAAGTAGAGTTATCTGCTTCTGGCATAATGTTAGTGCTACTTTCATGCTTTCTTCATGGAGTTGGAACATGTTCATTTGCTCTGTCTGCTTGAGGAAGTCCAAATGGTTCTCCTGCAACATCTGCCTCATTTTGTCTTGATCCTGCTCTAGACTTTTGGCCTGCCTGCCTTCCACCTCCTTCTGCTCTCGAAGGTCCTGGACGTGCTCATCCAAAGATGCTCTCTCTTGATCTCTGGCTTCTAAAGAGGACTCAGCATATTCCAGTTTTTGCACAACAGCTTTAGTCTGCCCCGCTGTCTCCTCCTCTTGCTGTTGAAGCTTAGAGATGGCCTCTTCCAGAACCCAGATCTTTTCTTCTCTTTCTTTCAGAGTCAGTGCTGCCGCTTGGAAATTTGTTTGCTCAGCTTCATGCTCTTCCTCATTTTCCTGGCATGCCTCACACTGCTTCCTAAGGGATAAAATCTCCTGCTCTTTTTCCTTTAGTTCCACTTGGAGATGCTGCAGAATTTCCTTCTGCTGTTCAGATTCTTCTTGTTGCTTTCGGAAGGTCTCAATCAGTTCCTTCTGAGATTCAATCATGACATCCTTTTCTTTCAGTACTGTCCTAGTGTATTCTAAGTCTCTGTGCAAGACATTCATCTGTTGTTCTGTTTTTTCCTCATAGCTCCTTGTTTGCTGCTTTTGGGTGTCTATGAGTCTGTCCTTTTCTTTTAAAGTTGCCAAGGTCTGCTCCAGTTGCTCACGGACAGTCCTCAACTGCATTTCCAGGGCTTCTTCAACTTCCTGCATTTGCTTTTGTTGGGACTCAAGCTCTCGTTCTTTTTCAGATAAAGAAAGTGTCATGTTTTCTACTTCACCAAGAAGCTCTTGCAGATGCCCCTCTTGCTGTTCCTTGTGCTGCTGCAAGAGCTTTAACTCTTCCCTTTGAGCGTCACACTCACTCTCTCTGGCCTTAAGAGCTGCCCTCAGGTGTTCAAGGCTTGTGTGCAGCGTTTTCCCCTGTTCTCTCTCCTTTTCCAGTTCTTGGATCTGCTGAGTCAGAGACAGAAGCTCCAAGTTTTTCTCCTTCAGGTTTCCCTTCATATGATCAAGATCGTCAAGCAGATTTCTCACCTGTGATGCACCATGTTGTTCTAGAACCATTATTTTCTCCTCCTGGGATCTGATCTCCTGCTCCCTCTCTTCTAGCTCCTTGCTCACCTTGCTGACAGCAGTGCTCTGCAATTCTAACTGCTTTTCCAGTTCCCCTATCAGTTCTTGCTGGGATCTGATCTCCTGCTCCCTCTCTTCCAGCTCCTTGCTCACCTTGCTGACAGCAGCCCTCTCCATTTCTCGCTGCTTCTCCAGCTCCCATATTTGTTCTTGCTGGGATCTCATCTCCCGCTCTCTCTCTTCCAGTTCTTTGCTTAAAGCAATCCTTTGTTGTTCTTGTTGCTTCTCCAGCTCCTTTATCTGTTCTTGCTGAGATTCTGTCTTCTTTTCTTTCTCTGTTATGTCCTTAATAACCTGATTGAGAGCAGTTTTTTGCATTTCTTTCTGCTTTTCCAGGACTCTCATCTGCTCTTGGTACATCTTCATTTCTCTCTCCCTCTCGGACAGGATGGCAGTCATACGAGCCAGATTCTCCTGTAAAGCTTTGCCCTCTGCTGCCTCTTTCTGGAGCATCTCCATTTTCTCCATCTGATTTTCCACTTCCTCATTTTTAATTTTTAAGAGGGACAGTGCAGTTTGGAGTTCTTGTTCAAGGCAGTGATTCCTCTCTGTTGCTGTATTTGCTCGGGTTTCAGAGGCTGTCACTGATTCCTCAAGAAGTTTGATCTGACACTCCAGTTTTTCTTTCTCTGCTTGCAGCCTGTCCCGTTCACGCTGCAAAGCAGGGACAAAAAGAGTCAGTCATCCCATCTCTTATGTCTGCTCTTCAGAGCATATCTGAGCTCCTGCTGCAGTGGCAGGCACGGGCTGCCCCTCTCTCCCTGCCTCTCGGGGTGCTGCAGACCCTTCCGGGCCCCCCTTTACACTGCGTCTTTCCCAGCTCCCTCAGCCATTCCCAGCTTCCTTTCTGCCCTTCCCCAACCTCTTGGAGCTCTGCTCGAGTGTTCCTTTGGGGAGGAGCAGCCAGAACTGCAGCCAGGATTTCAAGTCCAGACTAAGCATGATTTAGGCAGTGCCCTGACAATGTGCTCTCCACTGGGAAGGAAGGGAAGAGCAAAGGACCCCAACGTTTCCTCTGCTGGGTTTGGGGCAAGAGGGGGTGGTTTTTGACCTCTCCTGTGGAGAGTTGCTGTGGTACCATCTCCAAAAGGATGGTCCAAAACCAGCTAGGAAATGGCCCTTCATGGCATGTGCCAGCCTCACCAGCACATCCTGTCCTTGCTCCTCCACGCTCTCCAGTCTCCTTTGCAGAGACTCCACCTCCTGACGCAGAGTCACAGCCTCCTCCTTCCTTGCAGAGGCCTCTTCCTTCAGGGCAGCTTCCAGAGAATCCCTCTTGTGTTCTGCCGTCCACAGCGCTGCAGCAGCACAGGGGAAGGGGAAAAGCAAAGCAAAACCAAACTGATGTGCATCCTGCAGACACAAGAGCAGTGTCTTCTCTGCCTGCCTGTGTTACCCAGGCCCTAAGCCCACAAGGGTTTCACAAAGCTGACAGGAAAATTCCAGGCAGAGAAAAAAAGAAAGAACGAAAGGGGCAAGAATCTGAGGAACATGAAACTGTATTTGCCCTTCTGCTTGTTGAGAGACCAGGGCTGAGGGCATGGCAGCACCTCAGCCACAGTGTTGGAAGCAGGGAGAAGTGACATGGATGGAACAGGGACAGACAGGAGGGGAGAGTTAAATCCAGGGGTCCAAAGGAAAAGGAAGAGGAAGCAAAAGTGAAGACTGACTAGGACAGCACTGATTGACCAGGGATAGCTCAGAGAGAGTCTGAGACAAGGGAAACAAGGCACTGAGATGAGGATGGAGTTCTGATGTGCAGAGTGGGCAAACAAAGACAGAGAAAGGAGTGGGGATGCCTGTCCAGCCATGCTACAGAGAGGCCAATAGCCCTGGAGGCTCTGGGATGGCCTGGAGTTTGGAGGTAAGCTCAGGCATCCCCTATTTAGCAGGACATAGGACCTGAAAGGCATCACTCTGCACAGGTTCCCCTGTAGCACAGCCAGATGCACTGCCAGCCACGGGATCTTTCTCTATCAAAAGCTTTCCCTGGGACGTCTAAGGAGAAGTCTCCTGATGGTTGTTTTCCTCCTCTCCCATTCCCAGGCACTGCACTTTTCCTCTATGTGGCATCAGAGATCCCCTTTGGCCAGAGAGGATGGGCAGTGGGGGGGAAAGGAGAAGCTGTACCTTCCTGGCTTTCAGCCAACTCTTTGTGCAGCTCCTGATTGCGGGCACACCAGTGGTCCCTCTCAGCCTGCCTCGTGCTCAGTTCCAGCTCCAAGACTTGTGTTTTCTTCCTGGTGTCATTCTGGAAGAGTTAAGAGGAGCAGAATCACCTCTCAGAGCCACTGCTGGCACAGCAATGGTAGCTGTGATCATGATCCTCCCTCCTTCCCATGGCACTGAGCCACCCCCCTCCAAAAGGATTGACACCCACCCTGGCATTGGCACTCTGCTTTCCCAGCAGTGGGACAGGATTTCTGGGTGCCCAGGGCACACATTACCAGATCTTTCTGAGTCTGCTCCAGGTGTTGGCGCAGGTCTTGTAGGGCTGCTGCCACTCTGTCCACCGTGAGCTCTGTGGGGATGTCCCTGGCCTGAGAAGCAGTAAGGCCCACAACATGACCCTGTTCTGAGGAGAGAAGACATTCTGTCTCAAAACTTAATCCAAGGGTCTCCAACAAACAAGGCCTCTTTAAAAAGAGAAGGTGTGCTTGCCCTTGCCATCATCCTAGAGCTTGCCCTACAGCAAGCCATGTGTCACAGGTTGACGTTATTTTGATGAGCACTCATGTCAGTGCTGCCCCAAGGACGACTGCACATGCCCTGTGCCTTGGCAGGACTCAGGCCTTTTTCCATTCTGATGCTGATCATTTCTCCACACACAAACACGGACTTGTGTCTCTGCAAGGATGTCAAGCTTTCAAAATTTCCCAAGGCCTGAGCCAGCCTAAGGTGAAAGGATGAGTCTGTCAGACCAGGATGACCACGAACCATCCCCTCCTCCATCTGCTCTCCCACACATGCCCTACAGACATGCTGACCCAGCCTCCCACACTTGCCTGAGCTCCAAGTGGCCAAGTCTCTGCAGTCACTGATGACGTGGTGGAGAACCAAGAGCAGCTTGTCCAGCTGGGACTGGGTTTCCTGCTGGGCTCTGTTGGCCTGTTGACACTCTGTGGCCAAGGCCTCCTCCCTCTCCTCAGAGCTCCGGAGCCTCAAGCGCAGCTCAAACCCCTCGGCCTCCAGCGTGTGCAGGGAGTCCTTCAAGCTCCGTTCTCCTGCTCGCGCCTCCTCCAGGGCCTGCAGCAGCTGCTCCTCTCGAGCTGCCAGGGCAGCCTCCTTCTCCAGCACTGCTTCCTGCAGGGGCTGCATCTGGAATGGGTGCACAGAGTGTCAGGGACTGGGCTGCTCCTGAGGCAGCAGAGAGGGCAGTAGGGTGAGGAACAATTGAAGGACAAATTCCTTCAAGCGCAAGACACACCAGAAACAGAAGGCACAAAGCCAAGCATTCCAGTGGAGAACAATGAACTCCCAACATGGAGAGGGGAGACAATGGGCATCCTTGATGGTGCAGATCCAAAACACCGGATGAGGTGTCTTTCCCAGCCTGCCAGAACCACCTCTGTGTCCCCACATTGCTCCGTGCCTGGCACAGGCACAAACTCCACCGGGGACAACACTGGGAACACAGGGATGGAGAAGCTCAGAGCAGTCTGTTGTTTCTCCTCAGAGAACTCATACTGGGACCCAGGAGAGGACAGGGGCAAACACAGGCAGGAGACACCAGATCCAGCCTTGGCCTCAAGCTGCAGCGTCCCTGGGCAGAGCACAAGAGCAGTGGGTGCTGCTGGGAGGGGAAACCAGTGGGGGCCTACAAGCTGCAGGTGGTACTGTGTGTCCCTGGAGAAGAGGATACCAGTGCATAGGTCACCTGGCTGTTGAGCTCCTGCAGTTCTCTTGTGCGGTCTGAAAGGAGCTGCTTGGCCTGGTGAAGAGCAGAATGGAGCTCAGACACTTGGTTCTGCTGGGCAAGGTTCTTTTCCTCCAGGGTTCTGAGGCTCAGTTCCTTCTCTTCCAGACACACAGTCAACCTGTGGAGCAAAGCAGCAGATGGCAGTGAAAGGCATTCTTCTTTCATTGGTGCCTCAAGAAAGGGTGGTGGAGTTGCCCTCTATGTAAGGCAACGCTCTGGGTGTATCAAACTCTGTCTTGGGGTGGATGATGAGCAAGTTGAGAGCTTATGGGTCAGAATAAAAGACAAGTAGGGTCACCTTGCTGTGGGTGTTTGCTACAGGCAGCCTGATAAGGAGGAGAAATGGATGAGGTTTTCCACAGGCAGCTTGAAGCAACCTCACAGTCACATGCCCTGGTTCTTGTGGGGCATTTTGGCCACCCTGACAGCAGCTGAGAAAGCAACACAGTCCGGGATGTTCCTGAAAAGCACTGATGACAACTTCCTGTCACAGCAGGGGAGGATCTCACAAGGAATGGTGTGCTGCTCAACCTCATCCTGACAACCAGGGAAGGCCTTGTTGGAGAGGTGAAGTTTGGGGGCAGCCTCAGCTGCAGTGACCGTGAGATTGTGGAGTTCTATTGAGGGCAAGGAGGACGCAGGACAGCAAGGTAAGATTACAGCCATGGATTCCAGGAGAGTTAACTTTAGCCTCCCCAGGGATCTTCTTGAAAGAATCCCATGGAAACACACCCTGTAGGGAAAGGGGTCTAAGAGTGTTGGTTGCTATTCAAGGATCACTTTCTCCAGGCTCAAGAACAATGCATCCCAGTGAGCAAGAAATATGGCAAAGGGGGCAAGAGACCTGTGTGGATAAACAAAGAACTGCTGTCATTACTCAAGTGGAAGCAGGAAACACACAGGAGATGGAAGCGAGGTCAGGCCACTGGAAATGAACACAGAGAGTTTATCAGAGTAAGCACAAATGAGAAGGGCCAAGGCCCACCTGGAGTTAAATCTGGCCAAGGATGTCAAAGACAGCAAGAAGGGCTTTTTCAAATGCATCAATAACAAAAGGAAAACAAAGGATAACGTGTGTCCATTCCTAAATAGAGGGGAGACCCTGGTGACAGAGGATACAGAGAGTTACTGAGCACCTTCTTTACATCAGTCTGCACTAACAAGACCGACCACCCCTCAGAGATCTCTCACCCAGGAAACCAAGGCAAAAGAGTATTGGAAGCAAGACTTCCCTTTGGAAATTCCTTGGAAAATCCTCCTTTCCAGGAAGATCACATTAGAGAACACCTGGGCAGACTTGACATCCACAGGTCCATGGGCCCCAATGGCATGAACCCATGAGAGCTGAGGTAGCTCGCAGACACCACAGCGAGGCTGCTCAAGATCAGCTTTGAAAGGTCATGGAGATCAGGAGAGGTGCCTGAGGACTGGGAGACAGCAAATGTCACTCTGGTCTTAAAAAAGGACAAGAAGGAAGACTCACAGCTACTCCAAAAGCCTTTGCCTTCAGAAAAAAACTGTAACTGAAGGATTAAAAGGAAATGAAACACAACATCAAGAGAATGAAACACATCTGCATGGACAGTTCAGAACTGCCCTTTAGGAAATGCTACCAGAGCCACTTGCAGATAGCAAAGATTGGAAAGAGGCAACCCATGACACAGAAAGCACAGTCCCACAGGCTTTCATCTACCTGTTTTTTTCCCTCTCTAAGGCCTTCATTGAAGCCTGAAATTCTGAGTTTTGCCGCTCTGTTTCTTCCCAACGGCTCCTTTCGCTCTCCAGGTTCTGCAGACAAACTTCCTGCTCCTTCTTCTCCTGTTCAGCCTCCTCCAGGATCTTCCGGAGCCTCTCAACCTCCAGCACCTTCTGCTTTGAGAGCTCCTGGGCCTCGCTCACATCCTGCTGAGCTTTGTGGGCAGCGGCTTCCTGGGACTCTCTGCAGGCTGCAAGCTGAGATGTCCAGTGTCCCACCTCCAGCCAAAAGAAAAAGCAGTCAGAGAACACAGCTTGTCGCTGTCAGCCACTCGGAGACTGGGAGGAAAAGCAAAGGACAACTTTCACTTCCACCCTGTCCCAAGGGGATCAGATTCCCAACGGATATGGACGACTTGTTTCAGAATCTAAGGGGGTCACCGAGGGCATCTGAGAAACCAGTTCCAAAAGCAAGGCCAGCAGTAAGAGGCCAGCAGAAATCCCTGCTGGTGACTGCTGCCCAGCAGGCCAAAGGACTAGCCCAGCAGTCCAGGGCAGCAGCTGAGATTCAGCAGACCAGGCAGTGCCCTCCAGAGCAGCTGCCCTGGAGCCCAGAGCAGGAGGCAGTCAGAGGGATCAGCCCATCAGTTGCTGCTCTGCAAGGGAAAGGCAACAAGGGCACAGACCACCTGCTGCATGACTGTGGGGTGGCTGCTGCTGTTTCACACACCTGCTTTTGTAGATCCTCCCTCTGCTCAAGGAGGAGGGTCATTTCCTCTTGGATGCTTTCAAGTTCTTCTTTGTGCCTCTTCTCCGCTGCCTGGAGTTCCCTCTGAGCTTCCTGAAGCTCTGCTTCCAGCTTTGCCTTGATGGTCTGGAAGCACAAATGCAGAGCAAGTTCCTGGGACCTTCCCTCAGGCTCAGCTTTTTCTCCTTTCTGTCTCAAAATCCCATTCATTCAGGCAATTCTCTTGGCTTCTCTACCCAGCTCCATTTCCACTGCAACCCTTCTTTCCTGAAGGTGAGCTCTGGAGCTCACCAGGCTCTGTGCTTTCAGTGCCTGCACTAATCCTTGCCTCCTCATTCCCAGGACCTGCATTTTATGGCCTTGGTACTGCCCTTCACTCTGTTTCCTGGCTACTCAGGCTTACCTGCCCCTTCTCTTGCTGCTCTTGCACCTCCTGCCTCAGCTGCTGGACCCACTGGCAGGCTTGGCTTAGCTCTCCCTGAGTTTGGAGCAGTGTCTCTAATAGAACACTCTTCTCGTTCTGCTTTTCCAGCAGGACCTGCACAGAAACAAAGAGCACACAGGTTCAACATGTGTGTGTCAGGACACAAGGACTGATGGGCTCACGCCCTCTCAGAGCACTGTGCTGCTGCTGCTCTCCTGGGTCTGCCCACGGGGAGACACAGCTTCCCAAGGGAGACTGGCACCATAAACGCGGCCCATCCACGCCTGAAGCCCCAACAGACTCTCAGTCATCTCCCAGGAGATGGGTGGCATTTCCCTGCTGTCTGGCTGTGCTGCTGAGAGTGTCCCTCCTCTTCTGCCCTGTCCACCTTGTCTTTCAGTAGCGACTGCTGCACCTCGTGAGCAGCAGAGCAAATGCAAAGCTGCTGAGGGCTGAAGGGAGCAGGAAACTGATGTGTTCTAAGCAGGAGGCTGGTGAAAATTACTTCAATTTCAAGCTCTTCAGGTGACTTTGGAAAGCACTGACACGCCGGGGACACACTGTCCTCCCTGAGCGCTGGGCTGGGGGTGCTGCTGTCCCCAGGCAGTCGGCATGGAGAGCACCTTGGGGAGGGCACAAGGGAGACTCTCAGTGTGTGACACGGTGGCTTTGGCACAGAGATGGAAATGCAAAACTGCTTCCCAGGATGTGACTGAAAGCACAGTCCAGAAGACATCTCTGAGTTACTGTTCAGAAATATTCCAGAGGAGGCTTTACAAAGATTTTTCTCTAGTCATCATTCCTGCTGTGCCCTCCCCATTCCCACTAAAGAAAACCCCCATCCATCCTCCCGGGGATTCAGTACCACAGAATCAGTTTGGCTACAAACACCTATTAGAAAACATCCCAAGGGAACTGTTAGGAGAAAGTGAAGATACTCTGAGGTGAGTCTTACACAATATAAGCACAAAAATGTCAACTGAAAGGTGACATTTCTGCCTGGCTTCCTAAGAGAGGTCTCATTCCTAGTCCTGAAGATAGCCCTGTTCACCTTTCACCCCTCCAAATGCAAAGTAGAAGACATGGAGGACATGCTCCATCCAGCCCAGCATCCTGCCATCTCCCACAGCTCCAGCCTTGCAAAATCACCACCTCAATTCTCCTCTCCCAGTCTTTACCTCTTGCTTGGCATTTTCCAATCTCGTTCGTTCCTCTTCTTGTTGAGCCTGCAGGGTGGCAACTTTCTGTCTCATCTCAAACAGAATCTTCTCGTGCTCCTCTTCTGTCTCTGCCTTCCCTTTTTCCCATTCCTTCAGCATCTTCTGCATCTCTGCATGGTGCTCTTCCCGTTCGCTTGCCTGATGAGGGGAGGAAAAGTCTTCCAGCTGAAGTGCCAGCCAAGCTCTTCACAGAAAAATGTGAAGCCTTATCCCTCCCACAAACCCCAACCTGAACAGAGCATGGGACTGGCTTTCTGCCCTCCAGAAATCTTGAACTATTACCATGGAATTTGACAGGAGGGTCAGCAGGTGCAAGAATCATGGGAGTCATGGAATCCTTTCTGTTGGAAAAGACCTTTACGAGCAATGAGTCCAACCACCAAGACAAGGAGATATCCCCATGCCCTGTCTGCTGGCTGCCTGTTTCCTGGCACCTCTCTCCTCAGGCTTTCTCTCTGCTCAAGGCTCCCCTCCCTTGCCAGCCACGAGCAGGTGCAGATGATCTGCAGGGCAAGGGAGGGGCCCATGGCCCAGTCACGAGGACTGAAGGACCAGGGACAAGGGGCCTGTTCCATACGCTTCAAGCCCAAAGCTGATCCCTCTGACCCCTGGGCAAGGGCAGAAAGAGAGGAACCAAGTTCCCCTGACTGCAGCTGGCACCACTGTTGGCATCTGCTCCATGGCAGGCAGGAGCCGGGTCCGATCCTGCCCTTGGCTGCCACGCTTGGGGTGGGGACCTCCCAACCTGCTCTGCAACTCATCTTACACCCACACTGAAACTGTGGCTGCATTTACTGTCCCAGCATCATCCTCTGGGTCTTCCACTGCCTTCAAGTCCCAGCTGCTGGCTCTGCTGCCTGGCCCAGCAGCGTGAGGCCTATGTCAGGTGATTGCTGCCATTTCCCACGCTCAGACTCTGATGCTGCTAAACCAGCCCACAGAGCTGGCCTGAACAATTCACAAGCGTATTGTCTCCTACCAGGTCTTGCAGGAGCTTCTTTATTTCCCCTTGGTGAGCGGTTTCCTCAAGTCTGAGGGTATCGTGATGCTGCTGCTCTGCCTGCAAGAGTTGTTGGGCCATGTCTTCCCTTTCCTGCTTCCTGAGGGCTCTCTCTGCTTCCAGCTCACGTTGGAGGCACTTCACTTCCCCTGCAAACACGAACAACGGCAAGATTCAGAGTCTTTACTGACCTCCAGCCCTTTCAGTTTCAGTGTAGAAGGGCCCTGCCTCCAGCCCCCCTGGGCCTCAGAAGCCCTGCAAGCAGAGGTGGCTTTACAGCAGCTTCTCTAGGCCGGGGTGTCACCAGAAACAAAGCACACAAAGCTCCCACCTTGGATCACCTCCTTGGCCTGCATGACTGCGTGCAGCTGAGTTTCCAGGTGACTCCTGGTGATCTCCAGCTGAGATACCTGCTGCTGAGCCGCAAACAGGCTGGATTCCAGGGTCTCCTTCACTGACCTACAAGATGCAAACACACAGAGAAAGGAGTTTCTTGCTCCTGACACCCACAGGGAGTATTCCAGAATAACATGGCTCAAGATCCCCACATCTGAGTACAGAAAATGGGTGGCATGGAAACTCGAATACAGAAGGCATATTTGTGCCATTTCCATAGCAAAGCAGGGCCCTCCAAGGGAATGCCCAAGCCTTCCTTATGGCCTGGCCTAGGGCACACAGCCTGGCCCAATTTGACCTCAATAGCAAATCTACACCTGAAAAGCACAGAGGATGCATTAAACCCCTGTGTAGCGCTTTCCACCTTCATAATTACAGCCCTTCAGTCACGTCCTGCCCAGGGTGTCCCCCCTGCCCTTACCTGGCCTCTGCCAGCTGCTGGGAAGCGCCGTGTCGATCCCGCTCCGTGGCTGCCAGCCGCACCTCCAGGGCTGCCTTCTCCCGCCCCAGCAGCTCCTTCTCCCTGCACGCCTGGGCCAGCGCGCGCTCCTGCCGGGAGGACTCCTGGCGCAGCTGCTCCAGAGCCCTGCCAGCCGACTCCTTCTCCTGGGAAACCTGGGAGGTGGGCACACTCCAGCTCAAGTCCTTCCTCGGGAGCCCCGTGCAGAGCCAGCCAGTGCCACCTTGGCATCGGCCAGAGGACAAAGAGCTCCCGCGCTCCAGGCTCAGAGTTCCATGAGCAGGAACTGCCGTGCACAGCACCGGTACCCTGGGCTGCCAAAAGGCACTGGCACTGTCAACTTGGAAGTGATGTGTCAGGTCCTTCTGGTTTGCCTGGGACCAGACACCTCCCTCACGACAAACATCCCTACTCCAAACAGTGTGTTGTCGTGCAAAAACACTGCATCTTCCAGAACTGCCACTCTGTAAACGAAATTTCCAGCAATCTATTCCAGGGCAGGAAATTTTCAGGGAAGGCTGAGCAAAAGCAATTTTGCTCACTGAAGCAAGTGAAAATACACAGGGTTTCTCCTTCTGGGAAAAAAAAACCCCACGTGAAAGTGTCACCTCCCTCAGTGTGTAAAACAGCTGTGTGTGCGAGGGGATGCTCGGCAGGGAAATGGCCCTTGTGGGGAGCAGTCATTTCGTGATTTAGGCAGGTCTGGCTGATGTGGCCAAAGCAGACTGTATCTGTACAGCAGTTTACACCAACAACAGCATTTACTTACACAAAGAAGTTGTCTAATGTAGTTTAACTGTGCTTTTTGAGCTGTTTTCTTCACTATAAAACCTCTGCTGTGTATTTGCCAAACCTACCAGATCCTCCAAAATTGTGACTAACAGAAAAGAAACAAACCATTTTCTCACAGTTATCCTGTCATACCCCATCTGAACCTCCCCCTGGCACAACCTGTGGACATTTCCTCTTGTTCCTTGATCCCAGGCCACAGAGCCCAACCTGGCTCCACCCTCCTTTCAGGGAGATGCAGAGAGCGAGAAGGTCCCCCCTGAGCCTCCTTTTCTCCAGGATGAGCCCCCCCAGCTCCCTCAGCTGCTCCTGCTGCTCCAGACCCTTCCCCAGCCCTGTTCCCTTCTCTGGACAAGCTCCAGCCCCTCAATGTCTTTCCTGTTGTGAGAGGCCCAAAACTGACTCCAAGATTTGAGATGAGGCCTCATCAGTGCCCAGCACAGGGGGATGGTCACTGTCCTGGTCCTGTTTGACACACTATTTTTGATACAAGCCAGGATGCCTTTGCCCTTCTTGGCTACCTGGGCACATTGACAGCTCACCTGCAACTGCTGTTCACCAGCATTCCCAAAACCTTTTCCCCTAGGCAGCTTTTCAGCCACAAAATTGCACATATGTCTTAAACTGGAATTTGAAGAATTTAAAGACCTCACTCCCTCTCTTATCAGTACAGGACAGCAGCCTGTAGGAAAAACCTGCAGCTGCAGGAAAAACCTGTAGTTTTTTCCTGCTCTCAAGGCTCAGACAAACAGAGTTTTGAAAGCTGCAGACTCCACAACAAAAAGCATCACCAGAAACATGCAGCCCATTTTTTTTGTTTCAGAAAAAAGGTTCAGACCTACACAGTTTGTTTCTTTTGCCACATGTGAGATTAGCAGCCCCACTCAGATTCAAGGGCAACACCATCGTCTCTTTGCAGTTTATCAAAAGCCAAAAAAGAGGCCAACAGAGACAGGTGGACTAAAAGACTCTGTAGAAGCACAGGACAGCTCAGAACTGCAGAACAGCTCTGCAAGCCATCCCCACATTTCCAAAAAGGAGCAAACAAAGCCTTTTGACCTCCAGCACTACCATGTGTCCCCTTGACCAAACCACTGCAGAATATAACAGGTACAGCTCCCCTCAGCCAAGCAGCCAAACACCCACCTGGACACACCACCTTTTTGGCCTCACCTGTTGGAATTTCTCCTGGGTTTCTGCCTTCTCCTCTCCCAGTGCCCTCAGTTCCACCCGCAACTCCTCCTGTTGCTCCTCTGCTTCCTTCAGCAGCTGCTCCAGCTGGGCTTTCTCTGTGCAGAGCTCTTCGTTAGCTCTTTCACAGAAGTTCAGCTTCTCCCGCTCAGAGATCTTTGCTCTCTCCATCTCATCCACTTTAGCCAACAGAACTTCCTTCTCTTGCTCCAACTACAGTCAGGGAACCACAGAGGAAATAAAGTACAGGAAGAATTACTAAGAAGGTTTGGCTTGGACACAAAAGGAACATTGCCACGGTCAGACTGTCCCCAGGTAAGAAGGCTGAGAAGAAGCAGCAGCTAGAGACGAACACCTGGCAACATCTTTGGCAACTCTGCTCACCTGCAGCACGTGCTTGTTCAGCTCCACTTTGTCCAGTGCAAGAGCTTCATTGATGCTGCTCATCTTCGCTGCTGCAGCCTGTAGATCGGCTCTTTCAGCGTTCAGCACGTTCTGAGCCCCTGCCAGCTCTGCCACTGACTGCTCTGCCTGCACAGGCAAAAGAACTATGGGACAACAAAGGCAGCAGAATCCCGGACTTCAGGCAGCAACTCCACCTCCCTGGCTGTCTCTGACTTACTCCCAGGGCAGAGCTCCCAATCAGCTCAAGGAGATACACGACCCCAAACAGTCAGTCTGGTCAGAGCATCATTTTCCATGGAGAACAACATGGTCCCTGTCTTCCACTGACAGAAACAGCATCTGGGGAGGTTCTGCTAGCAAAACTCCCTCTGACAAGTGCTGCCCAGGAATAAGGTGTCCATACCTTCTCCAGAGCCATGGTAAGCTCATCCTTCTCTTGCTCTAGCAGATCCCTCTGAAGCTGCAGTTTCTCCAGTGTCTGTCTCATGACTAACAACTCCCTCTGCAATGACGAGTGTTTTCCCTCAAGTGCAGCCAAGTCCTTCACTCTATGAGGAGGGGAAAGGCAATGTTTCTATCAATAAACAGTCTATGCTCCAACTGAGGATCATTTGTGCACCTTTATGTGTTCCTTTATGTGGAGACTCCTCAAGCCCAGCACTGCCCACCCCTGCCCAGAGAAAGGCTGAGCACTCACAGGAGCTCCTGGTCACGCTGCGCTCTCTCCATCCTCTCCTGCTGCTCTGCCTTTTCCACCTGGGCTGACTCTTCCTTCAGCTGCAGCTCAGCTTTACTCTGACGTAGGCAAGAGGCTTCTTGCTCCATTAATCCAAGCTGTTGCTGTAGCTCTTCCCTAGTTTTCTCAAGATTTGCACAGTCCCTGCAGAGACAAGGCTCAGTCAGAAGAACAAAGAGGCCTGGAGAGTCACAGATCCCGTTTTCAGCACTCCAGGGTGGAGCTGGGGGCAGCAAGCTAAGGAAGACCTTGCTCTTTCCCTTCCAAGGAAAGAGCTGAAGAGGGAAAGGAAGGCAGGCTTTTGCCTTCCTTCAGTGAGAAGCAGTGGCTGGGAAAGGGCACCCAAAGAACAGCATTCAGAGAGACATCTTGGCAAGAGGGCGGTGTCTTGTGTTCCACCATCGCTGTCCATCTCAGAGACAGCCTTGGGAGTCACAGTAGAGCACGAAAAGCCCTGACAGGACAATGCTGAAGTGCCACACTGAGGCTACACGTGGAAGGGTTCTTTGCTCAGAACACCTCTGGACTCCCTCTACCAGACACAAGATTGCCTCTGGAACGCAGGAGGAGGAGGAAACACTCACCTCCTGAGTTCCTCTACCAAGGACTGCAGGTGTTGCTGGTGGCTGCTGGACCTCTTGCATTTCTCCTCCAGTTTCTCAAGCTTTTGCTGCACCTCCCTGCACTTCTCTTCCTGCTGTCTCTGCTGCTGCAGCAGGAAATTGTTTGAGTCCTCCCTTGCAGAAAGCTCTTCTCTCAGGGCCTGCAGGAACAGACAAGGAAAGAGCACAAACAAGCAGTAAGGAGCAGGGAAAATGGCTCCAGAGAGCTGGAAGAAGCAGCAAGCACAGACAGCTCCCCTCAAGGCAAAAGCTGTGCTGAGGGTGTGGGGATCAAAGAGAGAAAAGCAGAAGAACACAGAGCAGGTGAGACCAGCAAGGCAGTGTGGGACCACGAGTGTGAAGGCAAGAAAGAAAGGAGCTCAACTGGCTGAGGAAATGGAAAGGTGTCCAGCTGAGCAAGGCATCAGCAGCTGAGCCTGTGGCCAGGGCTAGACAAGCACAAGGTCTCACCTGTGTTGCCCCTCGCATCCTTGCCAGTGCTTCCAGAACCAATCCAAAGGCATGCCCTGTATCAACCAATCTTGGAGAGGAGAAGATGCTCCCAGACTGCGCATGATGGGAACTGTCAGTGCAGATAATGCTGACCAGGCTGTCACTGTCGTCCAACACCACCTGAAAGCCCACATCAAGCTGTTAGTCTTTGCTCATTCTACTTGGTTTTCTTCATCTTACTCTTCTTTTCCCCTCACTTCACCCTGGAGTCATTAAAAACTCAGTTCTCTCATCTCTTCAGTCCAAACAAGTTTGTCTCTGTGGCCACGGGTACTCCAGGGATTTCTGAATGCAGCTACTCTTCACAAGTGGGAAGTGGCTGGAGGCTGCCTGAATGCTCACTTTCTTGAAGGTGTATAAAAGAACTGACAATTAAAACCCTCCTCCCTCTAGGGAATTTTAGGACTAAGTCGAGGTTACCCCTGAACTGTTGCAATTCCGGGGAGATTGTAATGGTCAGGGAACACTGAGGGAAGGAGCAGAGTTGGCAAGTGCATTGACTGAGTCAGTGACCTTTTATAAAAATCTGAAGAACAACAGTCATTGCTGCAGGAGGGTGGGGGAAGTGCCTAAGGAACACTGGAATACAGATGTCAAGTAGCACACTCAAAGCACATTCCAAGAGACCTTTGTGGGACTGAAACTTCTAGTGGCTCAGCTGAAGTGTCACAGGACAGCAACTTGCAAGTTTAGAGAGGTTCTATGTCAGAAAAGTGGTCTAAAATTAAAGAGGCAATGGTAGTTAACACAGTCAGTACACAACATGTGTCTCTGGTCCCTGGGCTAGTCTGCTGCCTTCCTCAAGTACTTTAAAATCAAATTTACAGAGATGTGGTCTCTCCACCAACTCTGGTACTGTCCCAACTCTGTACTCACCTCAGTGATATTTTTTATGAGCTTTTGGAGGAAAAGATTCTCTTCTTTGGCACTTTTAGTCAATGAAACTTCAAATTCTTTCTCTATCCAACTTGATTCCTGAGAACAGAATAAAGAAAGGGTGGGCAGGGAAGAGCTGCTCCCATCTGCAGTGTCCCCATCCTCAGCAGCATTGTCACGCCAATGAGTTTCATTGTGATTCCAGTGTACTCCTGCCCAAACCTACTCCATTTCTTCTTTGCTAAAAGGGAGAGGAAGACCAACAGCTGGTTTTTACAGACTGCTACTAAGCTGTCAGCTCCAAGCAACTTTGATCCCCAGAGACTTAAAGTCACAGGTAGAAGAGCATTGGTGTGACCCCTCAGAGGAAGACACCTGAACTGTCTGCAGTTCCTCTGCCACTGCCTGCACCTGCACTGACTCCACTTCTGCCAAACTCACAAGGAAGAGCTTGGCCAGGTGCCTGATGTTCCCATATGCTGAGCATCTTTCCTGCTCTGCCTCTTGAGGAAGCTCAGGCTGGAGAGCAAACCCTGGGCTGTCTCCCAGGTAAAGGTAAAACATACTAGAATCTCCACTGTGTCGTTAAGTGTTTTCATGGTCTTCTCCTTCTCCTCGTTCTGCTTCTGAGACTGTACAAGCAAGGCTGAGAGCTCCATCACCCTGAGAAGAGAAGGTCCATGTGCCATTCCAAAAGCTTTGCACACCATCACCTGTTAAAAAGCAAAGCAGCTCCCGGAAGCACAGCAGAGAAAGTTCAACCCAGAAAACACAGCAAAGGCAGCGCTTATCTCTACAGGTTAATAGGCTTCACGTTGAGAAATGGCACTTCTTGCCACAAAGGCCTCTGCACTCCTTCAAGGAATCTTGCAAGGAATTGTCAGCACAAAGGTGCTACAGTGCTTGTGATGGCCCTGGGCAAATTCCTCCCAACTCCTCCAGCACAGCCCTGAGTAGCAATGGGGACTCAGTTCTCTTTATACTGGTCTCAGTTTTTCATCAAGAATCAACTAAGAATCACTCTAAGAGGCAATCTCTTTTCCACTCTTGTCTTACTCAGAAGTCTCTGCCAGGCAGATGATTTTTTGAAGGCAAGAGTTTGCCTGGGGACAGAAATAGGGATGTGCAGAAAAGGTGTGTTCTGAAAGTGAACAAAAAGATTATGTTGTAACAGCAAAGTTTCAAACACCTTTACCTGTCTTGAAGCTCCTTCTTCTCCAGGTCCCACCTTACTTGTGAGGCCACCACTTCCTGAGCCTTCTGGTTTATTTTCTGTTCCACTTGCTGCTCTGCCTGATCCTTCAGGACAGGTTTAGCCAGAGTGCTGGACTCCCTGAGCTGGACGCTGGAGCTCAGGCGGGAGCAGTTCACCAGGACAGACCCACAAAGCCTTATCTGTTCCGCCTTCAGCTCTGACAAATCTCTGGAGAGGAACCAAGAAACAGCCAAGGTTCACACCACCATCTTTATCAGCTGACTCACTTCTGAAGCATGGAATCATGCAATAGGAAATGCTGGCAGGAGAGATGACAACTTCGTTGGGGAGAGTGATACTTCATGTGACACATTCATGTGACACTTGGGGACCAGGACTTATCTTGACAGCTGAACAACGACTTTTCTGGGTAGTTGAGGGAGGAGTTTGTCTTCTCCTCAGATATAAGAAGAAAGGTGTGGCACAGCCAGAAGGCCTATTATTGTTGCTCCTACTCTATTTTATTAACATACTCTTGATTATCATTAACAGATGTCAGGAATTTTACCAAAGTCCCCAGCTTTTATTCAAGGGGATCAGCCTTAAGTGCTGTTATCATCCCCACCTGGGCTGCTAAGAGGCTCATGACCATACCTACATAACAAACACTTCAGGAAAGGGGTCTAAGAATTGGCCTAAAATGCTGTAACATAAAAGCACAAATAACACAAACGTTAAAGAGCAGGTCAGGCAGACTCTACACAACAGGGAAGACTCATAACCAAATAAGACAAATGGCTGACAGTAACCCAGAGTCTGAAACTGCATGCTGACACCAGAAGAAGGTATTATTACGGCTATGTTATTTTTGTGTAGAAGGCAACTGTGAGAAAGGAACCTCAGTGAGCCCAAGAACAAGAAAACAATCATAAAAAGAGGTATCAAACTAAGCAAAATAAATTGGATAAATGCAGTAACAGCATAGAGAAGCTATTTTTTTCTCTCAACAACACTGGGAGATGAATAAATGGATACAAACCAATCAAAATAAATGTACATTGGAAATGAAAAGGGAAAAAAATACGCATTAATGATCTTTCTCTCAGGAAAAGAAACCTGATGAGATTTTCAAGGCAGGTTTTTGTCATTCTCTACAAGGGACTGCTCCATACACCGAAGCATTGCACAGCTTCAGTGAGCCTGTTCCCAGGTGTCCACACATGCCTGTGTTCATGTGCCCACAAATCACCACAGCCAAGTCACCCGCTCAGGGCCTCTGCGGTGCTCACGGCTCAAGCTCCTCAGCTTTACCTGAAAACCACCAGCAAACAAAATGCTTCTGAAAACAGCCCAAAGCATTGCTTTTGACTGCCAGTGGGAAAAAAAAGGAGGAGAAATCCCCTCTTTCGCTGTCACTAACGCAACCCTGAGGTTCACAAAGCAGGTGTGAAGACAAGCCGTGTATTTTCTGCAGGAGAGCTTGCCTTAACTTCCACTCACCGGTCCGTGGCTGTCTTCATTTCCAGGAAATGACGGCGGAACGTCACCACCTGACGCCACAGGCCGAGTAGACGGTTGTGTTCCCCCCTTAAGTAGCTGTCATAGAGCTAAACATGCAAAGACAGAAAGAAATGCCAAGAAGGGAACACCCACACTTCTCCTGCAGCAGTGAAGAGCGGCAAAGCAAACTGGTCACGATGCATCCCCTCGCCTTGCAGAGGTGTCTCAGCCTCTGTGGAGGAAAACAAACACAAGCCCCTCCAAGCCCTGTGTCAGGCTGCCTTACAGCAGGTACAGGAGGCCTGACTAGTTCCTCTGTTTGGCCACTTTAAATCTGAACACACACAGAGCTCTCTGGTCCCCAGCGCTCGAGACAAGGCTTTAGGAACTATTAAAAAGACAAGCATTCCTGTGATTACCCTACAGTGCCCAGCAAGAGCCAGCATTTGCCTTTAGGACCCAGCAGTACGGTCACAGCAGGTGGGCATCTCCCACCAGCACCATTTGCTGACACTCCTCCCTCTCACACTCCTGTCCCGCTTACCAACACCAAAACCTCCAGCAATCCTCAGCAGAGCCTCCACGCAGCAAGCTCTCTATGCCAGCAACAAAATGCATTCTCCTTCCGAGCTGGCATCAGGGCTGAATTCCCACAGCCCATCCCTACCTCACGCTCACGGCGCCATTCGCTCTCCTTCAACTCCAGCTCCTCCCGGGCCCTCGTCCAATCCACCGTCAGCTTCCCAACATCTTCTCTGAGGGCTGAATTAACCTCACTGGCTTTATCAAGGTGCTCCCGCAGGAGAGCGTTCACTTCTGCCAGGTTCTCACACCTTGGAAAGGGAGAAACAGCAATGAGGTCACTGAACAGCCGCTCTCCAGCATCCCTGTGACCTTCCAGCTGCCTCAACACTGACTTTGCTGTCTGAGAGGCAGCAAAAGCACTTTCCAGGATTAAGATCTGTGATGAAAAACTCATTTGCTTCTCCTTGCTTTGAGCCTTTCATGTCCACCTATGATTTTGTTTTCCCCTTCATCCTTGACAATGCCCACAATTAACAACCTGTCCCCTCCTTCATGCTGATGGTCACTGGATGCATCACCTTTCTCTAGCACTGTCTGAGCCACTCACCTACTGAACCACAGAATAATTTAGGCTGGAAAGGGACCTTTCACCCAGAATACACACCCCCCCTCCCCACTCAAAGCAGGGCCATTCAGCACACAGCACTATTACTGCACCACAGAAAACAGATGGTGGACCTTTCTCCTGTCAAAGCAGCTTGCCCAACCGCTTCCCCTGGGGACATCAGGCAGCACCAACAGGTTTTCCCTCACTTCCATGAGCATCCAGGATACCAAGTATGAAGAAATGCTTCTTCCTTGTACCTTTGCTGCTCCTCTTCCACCTGAAGCAGGGCTTTCTCCAGGCTGTGGTCTGCTATGGCTTCCCACCTGCCTGGAAGGGATCCCTTAAGAGGAAAGGAAATGTTTAGTCAAATGCTGGTGTTTCCTTCACCAGTGTTAGCATCCACCACCTTCCTGCCCATTAGCTGGGTATCTCAGGAGCTCATGGCTTTTTCCAGATGTAACAGTGCTGTGACTACAGGAAGAAGGGAGGAGAAGGGAAGAGTGTTACTCAGTGAGTAGCTCTCCTCACTCTCCCACTGTTAGTCAGTTCTCCCACACTCCCTCACAGCTACGCATCCTCAGCTCATGACCTCAAGTGCTGACTTGAAGCCTGGGAAGGCTCTCCTTTTCTACCTTTCGGTTTCTACGTTTACTTTAGCTGTGAAGCAGAAAGAAAAGCACAGAGCCAGATCTGTACGTTGAACACCAGCATTCCTGCCTCCCAAAATGCTGTTTCAACTGGTTCTTCCTCCAAGACAGCTGTACCATGTAACAGGCAGCACAGTCCTCTCCTGAGACCTAGGACAAAGGTTACTGCACCTATAAACTCTTTCACAAAATTAAAATCCTCAGCTGGGTGTTTCAGACTAGCATTTCTGGGACTACTGGCTGCCCTAAGAATGGCAACTGGACAAAACCGATGGGAAAACTCAGAGAGCTTCTCTAAACCCTCAGACAATAAAATCTTGTTTTCCTGTCACTGCATTGTGGAGGTGTTTTTTTGGTCTGCACTTGGGAATGCTACGTACACTCTCGTAAGTCCACAACCTGCACACTCACCCCTCCGTCTTTCACTTGCTGCTCCAACTCCCGACACCAAGCCTGGTACCTCAGTACCTGGGTGGATACAGAGAATGAAGGAGAGTGAATGCAGCTTGTAACAGAGTTGGTTCCTCCTGCATTAGTTTTTCTCTGAGCCCGTACAGCCCAAGCACAGCGATGCCGATACAGTCAACAAGAAGTGATTACAACAGAGAGAAGCTTCACTTTGATATGACAGACATCGAGGCGGGGTTTCTCTCACATGTAGCTGTCTGTTCACCTGAGACAGCGATGGAGACACACGTGGGCAGCTCTGCCGGGCCTACGGCCACCACCTACCCCGAGACAGCGGCTGGGTGTTCGAGGGGACACACCTCCCTTGAAGCGAAGGAAATGAGTTTTCAAATTTCCTTTGCAAGCCAACCAGCTCGGCTCCCGCCCCGGACAAGCCCTGCTAAGGGGGCCGGACAGCAGCGCTGCCTGGAGCTCGGCGGCTCCGGGGCCCCCGTTCCCCGAGCCCCGCGCTGGGCGGGGAGCCCTGGGGAGGCCACGCCGAGCTCCCCCCGGGCGGAGCGGGCGGCCCGGCCACCCCTCCCGGCCCCGGGCACCCCCCGCCCCTCACCTCGTCCTGCAGCTGCCGCACCAGCCCCGCCTGACGCTGCTGCGCCTCCTCCGCGCTCCGCAGCTGCCGCCGCAGCGAGCCCGGGCTGTGCTGCCCGCCCTCCGCCATGGCCCGGCCGAGCCGGGCCGGGCCGCACGAGGGCCCTGCCCCGCCGGGTCGCGGCTCCCGCCCGCCCGGAGGGTCCCGCCCCGGGCTCCGGACGGGCCCGCCCCCGGGGCCGCGGGCGGAGCGGCTTCCTCGGGCCTGCCGGGGCCGCGCGGGGCGGTGGGGGAGGCTCGGTGTGAGAGGCTTGGTGTGAGAGGCTTAGTGTGAGGCCTCTCCGCCGCTCTGCTGAGGGAAAGCGCTGCCCTGGCAGAAACGTTAATTAATTAGGAAAAAACAGTGATAATGAATCCCCCGCGTTTCACCGAGAGCTACTCTGGGAGCTGGTTAGAGCTCGTCGTTTAAAATCGTTTTGTATTTGGCTGCTGAATGACACTCTTGTTTTCGGGCCCTGCGTTTTCCTGTGGCGGTGAATGCTTGCTCACCGGCATTCGGGCTCTTTGGAGAGCTGGAACAGATGAATTGCCACCGAAATTCTCTCTGGTCAGCTAAGTAGCTGGGGATCACTGACTCTGAAATCTCAAATCATTTAAATGTGCTTATGTTGCAGAGAGGAACAACACCTGTAGAAGGCAATGCAGGCTAATTAACATTTGTGCCGAGTGAAGGGACTCCTTAAGTAAATAGGCTTCCAAAAGTTTGAAATAAACCCCGTATTTCTCTAATTGATAACAGGCAGAGATACCAAAACGTAGGCAAAAACCCATTTTCAGTTTATTCAGAGTTGGGAGAATCAGGTAAACCTGTGGATCCAAGAAACTAAAGTAAGACAAAAATAAATTACTGATTTTGGAAAACCCTTTCCTGGGTCTGAGCACCAGCTCGGGCCCAGCTCCAAAGGGTCCCGCTGTTGGAGCCGCAGGAAGCAGCCAGATGGCTCCAGCCGTGGGCTCTCACAGCCCCCTGGCCTGCGGGGTGGGACATGCTGAGCACTCAGAGCCTCCTCCGTCCTCAGATCTGCGGTGGAAGCAAGAGTCCTCCAGCCTTGCCAGCAAGATGCTGCGGCCTCAGCTTAGCCCCAGTGCCCCTGGAACGGGCTGTGCTGGGTTGGCCTCATCTCGACTCCTCAGGGCACTTTTGGCCACCACAATATAAGAAAGATGTAAAGTTGTTAAAGAGCATCTGAAGAGCCATGAAGATGGTGAGGAGCCTAGAGAGGTCATACAAGGAGTGACTGAGGTCACTTGGTCTATTCAACCTGGAAAAGACTGAGAAGAGACTCATTGGGGGCTGCAGCTCCTCCCAAGGGGCAGAGGGGCAGCTGCAATCTCTGCTCTCTGTGAGCAGTGACAGAACCCGAGGGAACGGCTGGAGCTGTGTCAGGGCAGGCTCAGGTTGGATCTCAGGGAAAGGTTCTTCCCCCAGAGGCTGGTTGGGCACTGAACAGGCTCCCCAGGGCAGTGGGCACAGCCCCAAGGCTGCCAGAGCTCCAGGAGGGTTTGGACAACGCTCTGAGGGACAGGGTGGGATTGTTGGGGTGTCTGTGCAGGGCCAGGAGTTGGACTGGATGATCCTGGTGGGTCCCTTCCAGCTCAGGAGACTTTGTCATTCTATGATTTTGTGATCCACAGCTCACTGCTGTTCACAGGTGTAGGCAAGTCTCTTGATAACCGATGACACAATCGTTTCTTTGGACTTCCAATTTTTTATTTAACATCACAATATTGTAGCACAGTGGTTTAAAATTATGCCACAATTCCCTATAGAAGTGGGAACTTTATTATCTTTGGTTTTGCTTCAGCCAAAGACAAGCAAGTTTTAATTACAACATCTGTGACTTTTGTGTAATTCTTTCCCTTTGAAAAGCACAGAGATGTTAAGTTCCTTCCTAAAATTACAACTTCATACTTTTAAAAAACTGTCCCACAAAAGCTATGGTGCAGAAATAGAATGTTCATTATCATCATTAGTTTCAATAAGCAAAAGCAATATGACAGCAAATGGCCTAATATGTGAGTTTACTCAATCCTTTAAATCCATTCTGGAAATTAATTCACTTGGGAAAGAACAGTGAAATTCCTGGTAGATCACTAGAATAAAGATTTCCACATGCAGCTCAAACTGCAAGTTTGCAGCAGTGAACAAATTCTGACTCTTGGCATCACGTATCCCAGGAGCCTCCTGGGAGCCAGCTGGGGCGATGAACCGTGGATGGTGTTTTACGCTGCTCCCCGGGAATTCTGCACTGGGGGGGCATTCCCTGCTTGGCTCGGCTTCTGCTTTGTCCCACAGGGTGTATCAGACAGATCAAGCAGGTGATCTGAGCTGTCCCTGAGAAGGGCCCTGCTGGTGCCTGCTGTGACACGAGGTAGGACTTCACTTGGCTGGAGTTCAGTGACAGCACAGCATCCAAATGACAAACACCCACAGGTGGCAATACAGGAGCAGCGTCCGTGCCCTTGTGGTTCCAAGCACTTAGGTGGAGTTTGCTTCAAGAAACCCTCTTTCAAAGATTAGTTTGCATAGTTTAATCTCAGAAATATAAATATCATTTGAACATATGAATGATTGTGCTTTTAACCTGATTTACTAAGACAAGGCCAGTGTAATCCCATTGTTTTACCTCCTGCTCTTTCATGTCAATCTCTTAAATAATTTGTGAATCTGTTTGCAAACCTCAACCAGGTTTGATAGAGCAGCTTAAAAATATTAATTTCTTACAAGTGTTGTGAAAACTGGAAGCTGGATGGATGAAAAGTGGGAACTCAACGTTCAGCTGCTTTTGTGCCTTACTGGCAAGATGATCGTGGCACAGAAGCACACGTGGCCTCCTGCCCAGCAGAAAGGTGGGCAATATGGGAAGGATGAAAGGATGGCATGGCTGGAAGGGCTGTGGGATGGCGTGGAGTGACCGCTGGGGAATGGTTTCACCAGAGGTAACTCAGGGAGAAGCTGCTTTATTTTGATGGGGAGTATCAATCAAAAGTACAGCTGTCATCAGAGGAAGGACCATTAGATCAAAATCAGGAGGGTTTGGATCTACTTATTTGTGACATCTGCAAAATCACTGAACTCTTCCTCAGTTCCTCCATCAAAACAAGTATTCAGAGCTCCTCATGTCATGCAGGTTGTTATTTATGAAAGTAGTTCAGTGTTTCTGATACTGGTCAGGGTGGATGGGGAATGCTACAGCACACACAGATCAAGCTAAAAAGTGTTGTACCTCTTCCCTTCTTGCCTCAGAAAGAAACAGCAGTTGCAGGAGGAGGACCGGGCTTAGCGTTAGTGCAAGATGAGAGGCAGGTCCCAGTAATCCCTGTTCGATCCAGCCCAGTGCCCCATTTCCTGAAGGCTCGTTTAGAACAGCAGTTCAATTTTTGCAGCTTATGAAAGACACACTTGCACTCCTCCCTCTGTCCTGGAGGGCCCAAAGCCGCGGCACAGCCGTGACACCCGGTTCCGACCTGCCCGCCGTGGGGTCGGCGGCTCGAACATTTTACATCTCATATTTAAACAAAGGCTGGTGTCCAGCAGTGTCGGGATGAAAGACGGGGGTTAGGCCTGTCTCCAGCTCCCGAGAGGCTGCGGACAAAGGGGAGGAAGGAGGAGGAGGAGGAGGAGGAGGAGGAGGAGGAGGATGGCTGCCTGCAGGGTGCACTGCTGCCCCGCTGCACCGCGCCCGCCCCGCGGGGCATCCCCTCCGCCAGGAGCTGCTTCTCCAGCTGCGCTCACACGGGGTTTTTAAGCATAGCGATAAATAAGCCAAAATACACTGTCTGCGGGCACGGCCCTGGGAGTTTGTGTCAAGTTAAAGTTACCCTCGTTAAGCGCCGGCGCTGCATCACAGCCCCTCAGTCACCGGAGGACAAAGCGAAGCCACTGTTACAGTTCTCTGGAAAAAGAACTAAATGAATTATTCTTCGATTATTTAACGTATGTGTCCAGTGGACCGTGTGACAGGGCTCAGTTGTTGATCTTGCAGTTTGTCCCGTCTAAACGTGAAGTTCATCGAGGGCTGAGGCAGAGGCCGTACTGCCACTTGAAAAGGCATCCTCTGGAGTTTTGAGCCTGTGGAGCTGTTTCACATGAGGCAGGGTATGACTCATGCTAATGAAAAGGGTAAAGAAGATTTTTTTTAAAGAAATATATCGCAGTTAAATTAGTTTAGACAGCATGACATCAGAGAGTAATTAAATAGGTTTGTTGGAATTCCGTTTCCAATTCCTGAGTTCAGGTTTGTAAAAGATTTCTGAGCACCTGCAGGTCTCTGTGTGTGAAATATTTTCACTGGAAAGGATTCAAAACTTTAAAAAAACCTTTTAACACAGAGGCAGCATTACGCCATTCTTCCTTCTTGGAAAAAAAAAAAAAAAAACCTTGGATTTAAACAGGACTCCTTCAAGTTTTCAGTCAGTTTTACAGAAGAAAACGAGGTGGTAAACTTTCTCTTTTCAAGAACAAGTTCTTTATAGCTGCTAACTGAAATCAGGGGAGATCGTATCTGAGTACATGAGCATTTCCACTATGGGACTGGATACAAATATTGAACAACGAGATTTGAAATGTTTTAATCTCAAACAAAAACCATTTTTGCTGACTTTGGTTTTTAATTTCTTTCATGTTTTCTTCTGCCAAACTGGAGGAACCTTTTCTGATTTTTTCTTTAGTGGCATTCAGAGGAAGACCAGAGGATGAAAATCCTGCATTTTCTCACTTTACTGCTTTGGCATTTGACTTGGCTGTCTCTAGTTCCTGGAGCGCTGAGTAATTCTGAAGCAGGCCAGGGTAATCCAGGATCTAAACTAGGGTTTTTAAAAGCAGAAGGAAAGGAGAGGAGTCCCTCTGCACGG